TGTCACCACCATAAGATTTTGTGTTCCAATCATATATCAAAATACTTCAATGTGCCTCTTGAATAAAAGCTTTATAAACAATAACATACTCACTGTTTGTTGTTTGTTTTAATACAGTAATTGACTGATTCAATGTATTTGATAGTTAAAATGATTACAAATTCAGCTTTTCGTCACCACCGTCAGATGTGTCAACTCCGTCAGTGGAATATTTTGATAATATTTCATTATGATATTTTATATTTGTTGTGGAATTGTTGGACACATGTGAACGTGAAATCTGTCTGCTAACACGAGAATGCGTTTTGAGATGTTAAAAACATCTTGAGTGCTGTTAAAGATAAAGTTGAACTTATAGTACACAGGTGAAAAAGCACATTTTGTTAAAAAAGAGAAAAGTTGGGAGGTTGTATCAAAGCATAGCTCAGTAGCTTAGTACATATAAGATACATAAATGTAGTTTCATTTGTCTGAGTAACGTTACAAGGTTTAATTTTTTCAATTTTGCACCCTGTTTTGTCCCACTTCTCAAGAATGACTGAATGTAACCCTTCTATGACAGAAAACACGTGTGTCTAAGGAAGCGTCAAATCATTGGGCACGCCTTCTTATTTATTTGCATGCGTGACCCCGCCCCGACCGAGACGCGCAATACGATTGGTCCGTTGATACAGCGTGAGCGGTTGCATCGGTGAGGTCAAAGGACGACGTCCAGAAGTAACCCCCCTTGCATCGCACCACCGTGATGCTCCTGTCAAAGAGGCTGGGACTCCAGCCTGTACCATTATGCTGCTATATAGCCTATTAGCCTTCACCGGAGCGGAGATGGGCTTCAATTAGGAGGGAATACAGTCGATATTAAAACGTCGGTTTACACGCCTCAGAATTGCTTGCAGACTCTTTTCGCACGGTGAGTACAAAAGCTTATTACCGGGACCGAGTGCCTGCTAACTGTAAGGCTGCACATGACACTGTAAATATTGGACGGATTTGTAAAACCTCAACAGCGACTGCGACAGAGATGAGGAGGGTTTGTGACAAGTTAGCATGTGTGCTAGGTCGAACCGATGCCACTGTTTCTCGGTCAAGGTGGAGACAGGAAGTTTACGAGTTTGAAAGGTGAAAAAAGGATGACTATCATGCTGACTGAAGGGAGCCGGACGGTTATGAACTGATAGCAGAAATGAGCTCTAAGTGTAAGTGTTAGATTATTGAAAAGGAGTTTCTCACATGTGGTTGAGGGTTCGCGATGGTGAGACCCGTTGATCAGGTTCATCAGGCTGGATGAGGTGCGGTTGTAATTTTACAAGTGTCAGTCCTGCAGGTGAGTTGCTAAATCGAGGTACAGTAATCAGACAGGTTCACATGGAGTCAAACGTACGATATGGGTAAGATACAATAGCGCTACTGTTACAGAACTTGTGATACATTGATGGGAACCAATGATAGTGCCATGGTCTTTCCATGTGTGTCATGATACTCCGTAACGATGTTTACTTCCGTGGTATTTTAAAGGCTATATTACATGTCCAGAAACATAATATTGCTATGGTACCATGCCCATAGAACATAACTTACAAATAGATACCAAAAATACTATGATGCTAAATAAATTTTTAGCAACATATCATGGTCAAATAATTTCTTTAAACGAAATAAAGGCAAAATAAAAACATTAGATGAAAAACTTAGAAATCAGAATTTTACATTGGGAACTAACTGATATATTTTGAAGTTAAACTTCTAAAATTACTTAAACTGACTCTTTTTTTTTTATTCGTAACAATGTGTTTGTCAAATATTTAATTAAGACATCTTTTTGTCATAGTGACTTTTGACTTGATGAGCTGATGAACTAATGCATCTTCGCTCTCCTTGTACAGTGCTTGCAGCCTGCCAGCGTGGCCTAAGTATGGCAGAGCAGGACTCCACCGGGAAGAAGCTTCCAGCAGTGGCTGCGCTGCACTCTCACTTCATCGTGGGTTCTGTGTCTGAGGAAAACTCTGAGGATGAAACCGCAGGGAAGCTGGACCTGCAGATGGAGGAGAATCCGCGCTCCCTTTCCCCCTCTTCAGTCAGTTCAGACAGCACTTATGAGATGGGCTTCGACAGCCTGGACGGACCCTTGCACAATATGAGGTCAGAGATGCTTGTGCACTCATTTGCAGTTATTGTGACATGGATGTCCACTTTCACCATATCTGTATGTATCACGCTTGTTCTGCCTGGTGCTCGAGATCAGGGACGTGGCCTTTGAAAAAGACTAGTTTCAAGATAAGTCTAGCGCTGGTTGTCTAAATAAATGATTACATTTCTAAGCCCATGTGTGAATGAGGGAGGTATGCTGCAGCGTTGTGCAAAGTGATGGCTTGAGGATACTGGGTTCTTCAAGGTTCATATGGGTTCATCACTATGCTGTGTGAAAATGTGCACAAGCGCCTCTCTGTGTGTTTGGGTAACTTCGGTTGCACTGCCAGTCTTTGGCAGTGTTTTCCATCTCTATGCCCACTGGGGTCTCACACAGACATGCCATAATGGTTGTCAAAGTAGTGATGCTTCAAGGAAAGATTGAAGTTAGACAGGAGGCTATTTAATTTTTTTTCATTCAAAGTTTAAGTAATTTTGTTGTGTATTTTTGTTATTCTTATTAGTTTTTTTAAAATGTCTATGTTTAGTATGTTTTATAGGGATGTGCATCTCATAACTGAGGATGCGATACGCATCTTGATGCTTAGCCAACAATGGATTGAAGTTAGACAGGAGGCTATTTTATTTTTTTCATTCAAAGTTTAAGTAATTTTGTTGTGTATTTTTGTTATTCTTATTAGTTTTTTTAAAATGTCTATGTTTAGTATGTTTTATAGGGATGTGCATCTCATAACTGAGGATGCGATACGCATCTTGATGCTTAGCCAACAATACGATACATTAAAGATGGATATGAAGCAGCTACTGATGCGATACGATACGATTCACCACTATTGCGATGCAGTGCGATTTCAATTCGATTCGATTCAACACAATGAGATTCGATGCAATATGATGCAATGGAAACTAACCTGGTCTGGGGCAGGCTAACTGTCAGGCTAAGCTGAGCTTCTCTAACACTGACCAATAGGAACGCAATGATATTACCGGTGACTCTCTCACATACTATTATAACAGCCTTTTCTCTCTGGTTTTATGACAGCTGTACCTTTTATAGATAGCAGAACATTAGAATATTACAATGTAAAATTGCTCTTTAAAGCATTAAAATCACTAAATTCAAAATCTAAATAAATGAAACAATACTAAATTTGAACTGCTATAAGAAACACACATTAACTCATTTGAGCTGAGTAATTAGGACTGTATTAGCTTACATGTTATTTACCCATTACAATAGTCCCTTTACAGTTACTGCTATCATAAAAATACACTCATATATAGTAGGGGTGGGCGATATGGGCAAAAATTCATATCTCTGTATTGTATGTAGGGTTAAAATTCTACAAAAGGCACATTTTAATGTCCAACAACAAATATCTTAACAAAATGCATATTTTACTCAGAATTATTGCGCTATTATTCTATTGCGCTCCATCTGAGCGCTCGTTCATTTGCCCACTCCTGACAGCAAAACTGATATGTTTGCATGACTTTCTAACATTTACAGATGAAGAATATACCTGTGACATGTCAGTTATGCACTGAGGAAAACGTCAGTCTCAACGTCTCAGATGCATTAAACAGCACAAATATATTTGCTGTTTGCAATGGTGGATCGGTTTGATCCGTGATCTATATTAAGGACTTTAATAATCGCTTTTCCTCAGGTCTCCATGTTGATGTGTCATATTCACGCAGCAGTGATGAGAGAACACGCTTGAGAAACAGTTTAGAGAGGAGAAGTCAATCTACATATAAAATATTGTCACAGATTATTGGTCACTTTCTAAACAATAAAAGTATAGTGTGTCTACTAGTAAATATATAATAAATTAGTTTTTTACCGATGCAAATATGTTAGAAACAATGCATCGTGATACAAATGCCAACTTGTATCCGATGCACACTTTTTTAAATCGATGCTGTGCATCATTAACTTTTTATGCCAATGCACTGAGAGAATCGGTAAATCTTTCAATCCCTAATGTTTTAGCTTTTAGTTTTAGTCTATTTAGTTATTTTAGTGCTTTAACTTGCTGTAAATGAAAATAAGCTGAAATAAAATAAGTTTGAGTGTTTTTTTTTAATATTTTTATATTTTAAGTAATATTTTTTATGATTTTAGTTTTAGTTAATGATAACCTGATTTTACATAATATATTCTCAAAGTAAATAATTAATTGAAATATATTTTTAGTGTTATCATTTGACAAAAAAAAGCTTAATTTCACAAAGGAAACAATTAATGACGGGTGTTAAAACATAAAATCAACATCAAATACAAAATTATGGAAATCTATTAGGATGTGATTATATATTACGCTCTGAGTGTTATTTTATTTTATATTTAATTTTCATTTTTATCTCAGATTACTAGATAGAGCTGTAATAGAATGAATAATGAAATATTGAATTTTGCATCTTGATGACATATTAAAAAAATACTACAGAGACATTTTCTGTAAAATAAATAAATACATAAATTATTTATTTTATTTATTTATCTATTTATTTTATTTAATTAATTCATTATTACAAAGACATCATGGATCTTTTAAATTGTTAGGTCTAAACATGTCAGTTTGTGTTAGTCAGGTTTTGTCATTATTGCTACTAAGAAAAATATTATAACTGTCTATGGTAAATAAAAGTGTCCGTTGGGGATAGGGAACATGTGGCCACCCTTTATAGTCACCGGACCACATGCAGGCAAGACAGATTGCACAGTACTAGCAAATCTGCTATTTAATGGCGGCATTGTGAATATATATTTACTGAAATAATAAACTCAGCTGCCTAGTGTATTTTTGTCTGTTTCCGATTTGATTACCTGTTGATTTAATTTACTTAATACGTCATGCCTCTGTGTTTAACTAAGGCCTCGTACGAGCTGCTCAGAGAAGCCTTATAGGACAGAGTGGCGGTGCTGAAACTGCCTGAATGGGCCAAGATGTCCCTCCTCCCCATATTGCTCTACTATTGGTCGAGGGGAGGGGCTGTGGTGGGCAAGTGCAAAGGAAGTACATTCTTTTTGGCTAAGGGGAGGGAAGAGGAGGAAAATCTAGGAGTCTGGGAGGAGGAGAGCCATTCCAGTCCTTCCCCCTTAAAGGAGCGTTTTGTGTGTGCCAGCACTTCCGACATGATGCAATCTGTAACTTCAGGTTACACGTGACGGCTAAGTTAGGGATAGCATACTACTACACCATTAATTATATTTATGCAGTATACAGTATATATGTTATGCAAAGTATGCATTTTCTCTGTCTTGAATAACCAAATGACCCGCATGTGCCAACCCGGGAATATTGTGTGATATTCTGTATCCCACAATGCAATGCACTTGACCTTCCATTTCCAGAAGAACCAGAACCAGAATTAATATCTGCCTTCTTGATTCAAGAATCAGACTTCCAAATGTTAAGACATTTTTACACAAGACTGGATATGCAAAGAAATTGTTGGAATGTCCAAATGATAAATGGATGTCTATATTTAACATGCATGTAGCGTGATACTGTTTGATATGCAGCATGTAGCATACTCCTGATTGATTACTGTTTTTGGCAGCATACAGTATATATACTGTAGGGATGTAATGATTCACTCAACTCACGATTCGATTCACGGTTTTGATTTCACGATTCGATTCACTTTTTTTTTTTTTTTTTTTTTACAAAATGAGATTTAAGACAAATTATAAATTAAATGTGTCCTTTTATTATTGCTTGGACAAAAAAATGTAAGTTTCTTTGTGAAACTGAAATAAAACACTATAATAATATACTAATATAGCACTTGTAAATTATTGCTCTTTTGTTGGTTTTGATTGCTTCTATTGTCCTCATTTGTTAGTCACTTTGGATAAAAGCGTTTGCTAAATAACACAATTTAAATATAATGTAAAATTAAATAACAAAACTAAATTGAAATTTTAAAACAAGCCCAAAATCAAATAAATAAGTAACACAAATAAAATAAATATCTTCATATAAACAAACTAAGGCTTTGTCTGTGCTCTTTCCATTTAAAATGAGAGGCAGCCACTGCATTTAAATCATGATCCAAACAAAGATGCTGCATACATGCAACATGAGCAGTTTTTAATCTAAATTACATTGTATAATTTCGAAATTTGAAGCAAAAACAGAATGGTTTGACTTCAGTTTTGTGAAATAAAAATATCTGCATGAAACAGAAACAGCAGACGAGCTGAACGAGACGCAGATTCACTCTCTGCCAGCAGGTGGCGCTTAAAGCGTTTTCTTGGTTTCCGCTGTAAACAAAGCAGCGCTGCACTTATGAACTTTAATATGCATTATACAGAGGCAAGATTAAAAGAAAAAATACCATCGAAAGACAGTAAGTTCCCCTCAGACATACATTCATATAAACTCCTACCCCTAATGGAATCGTGATTTGTTTAGCATCTCAACCGATTTGAATCGTCACATATTTAAATTGATTTTCAACCGGCTCGCGGTTAATCGTTACATCCCTAATATACTGTGTAGCATGTGTGCTAGTATAATTTTTTTGTTCTTCTGTACCTTTGAAGACATCCATCTATTTGACCATCTATAACTTTTTAATTTGAACCTTTCAAAACGTTTTTTAAAATATGCCTGTCAAGGGGGGTGAATTTACAGGATTGATTTACAGGCTTTGGAAAGTCATGAAAGTTATTAAATACCTGGGACAAATTCCTGAAGTCATGGAGAAAATAGTAAATATAGACTTTTCTTTTTTTATTGCATTGCAAAAAAACATAAACAAACAAACAAAAAACTTATGTACTTATTTGATAACAAAAATGTGCATTGTTCATCATTTTTATGTTTTTGGAATTTTGCCATTTTTCTTGCAAGTTAACATTTTTGTATGAAGCCCCACACATGACATGCAGAGGAACAAATAGACAGATATTCCCAGGAATTCATTTGTTCCCTATTTTATTTATTTATTTTTTGCTGATTTGTTCTCTCATTTTTCTCAAAATTAAAAAAAAATCCAATCCAAAACGATCAGCCATGCTGTCAGTTGCTAGCGTGTGTATTGCTATAGTGTTCATCTGTTTGTATTCAGTGTTTCTCAGGCTGCATTGTGAATTATGTTGGTATTGTGTGCATTTGTCAAGGCCTAGCATGTCAGGACTTCACCTTGTGAAGCAGGGCAGGAACCGCAGACGCATCGACTTGCAGAGGGACTTTACTGTCGCTTCCCCCGCTGAATTCGTCACCCGATTTGGTGGCAACAAAGTCATTGAGAAGGTAAGATCCTTGACTGCAATTTGCTATTCTGCTATATGCGTGGTGCAGTGTTATATTTTAGTGTCATTTAGATAGTGTTGTAGGTTTTTTTTTTTTTATTATTTAATTTAAATGTTATATTTTGCAATTTTAATTCAAATGTTTTTAAATTTAAACTTACAATTTTGTTGTTTTTGTCATTTTTATTCTTCATATGTTAAATAGGTCTATACATTTTTTACTTTTATTTCAGTTTTAGTTGTTTTATTACAAGTTAAACTAAATTAAATTGAGTGATGTTTCCTTGGCAACTAGTTAACAATATATATACAGTGGGTACGGAAAGTATTCAGACCCCCTTAAATTTTTCAGTCTGTTATATTGCAGCCATTTGCTAAAATCATTTAAGTTAATTTTTTTTCCTCATTAATGTACACACAACACCCCATATTGACAGAAAAACACAGAATTGTTGACATTTTTGCAGATTTATTAAAAAAGAAAAACTGAAATATCACATGGTCCTAAGTATTCAGACCCTTTGCTGTGACACTCATATATTTAACTCAGGTGCTGTCCATTTCTTCTGATAATCCTTGAGATGGTTCTACACCTTCATTTGAGTCCAACTGTGTTTGATTATACTGATTGGACTTGAATAGGAAAGCCACACACCTGTCTATATAAGACCTTACAGCTCACAGTGCATGTCAGAGCAAATGAGAATCATGAGGTCAAAGGAACTGCCTGAAGAGCTCAGAGACAGAATTGTGGCAAGGCACAGATCTGGCCAAGGTTACAAAAAAAATTCTGCTGCACTTAAGGTTCCTAAGAGCACAGTGGCCTCCATAATCCTTAAATGGAAGACGTTTGGGACGACCAGAACCCTTCCTAGAGCTGACCGTCCGGCCAAACTGAGCTATCGGAGGAGAAGAGCCTTGGTGAGAGAGGTAAAGAAGAACCCAAAGATCACTGTGGCTGAGCTACAGAGATGCAGTCGGGAGATGGGAGAAAGTTGTAGAAAGTCAACCATCACTGCAGCCCTCCACCAGTCGGGGCTTTATGGCAGAGTGGCCCGACGGAAGCCTCTCCTCAGTGCAAGACACATGAAAAAACACCTGAAGGACTCCAAGATGGTGAGAAATAAGATTCTCTGGTCGGATGAGGCCAAGATAGAACTTTTTGGACTTAATTCTAAGCGGTATGTGTGGAGAAAACCAGGCACTGCTCATCACCTGTCCAATACAGTCCCAACAGTGAAGCATGGTGGTGGCAGCATCATGCTGTGGAGGTGTTTTTCAGCTGCAGGGACAGGACAACTGGTTGCAATCGAGGGAAAGATGAATGCAGCCAAGTACAGGGATATCCTGGACGAAAACCTTCTCCAGAGTGCTCAGGACCTCAGATTCAGTTTTTCTTTTTTAATAAATCTGCAAAAATGTCAACGATTCTGTGTTTTTCTGTCAATATGGGGTGCTGTGTGTACATTAATGAGGAAAAAAAATTTACTTAAATGATTTTAGCAAATGGCTGCAATATAACAAAGAGTGAAAAATTTAAGGGGGTCTGAATACTTTCCGTACCCACTGTATATATATTAAATTATTATTTTTTTTTAAATTTCAATTAACTTTAAGTAACTGAATGTTTTTATGGTTTTTGTTAACTATAAACAACCCTGGTGTGGTGACAGCTGTGAATATCATATTTTGTTGTGACAGGTTCTCATTGCTAACAATGGCATCGCTGCAGTTAAGTGCATGCGCTCCATCCGTCGCTGGGCTTATGAAATGTTTCGGAATGAACGGGCCATACGTTTTGTAGTCATGGTTACCCCGGAGGACCTCAAAGCCAATGCAGGTGTGTTTAAAATGCTGAGCTTAACTGTTACGTCATCAGACTTAAAAAATTGCTTGAGAAAACTTTCCCCCAATGCTGGCTGTATCATGGTGTAGTCCAGGAAAAGCCATGCTGGACTGTGGACTGGCAAATGTATTTAGCAAGGAATGTCTTGGTCCTTCTCTTCATTTATGTCAGTATGCTTTGTCGGTGCAGACCTGGCCTAATTTGCATAGAAAGGATTCAGTGAGGTGAAAATGATTTATGAATAGCCCTGTAATCTCAAATTTACTTGATGAAATACTTAAACATATGTATAATTCTGTCTGCAGAGTATATCAAGATGGCAGATCACTATGTACCTGTCCCAGGAGGGACAAACAACAACAACTATGCTAATGTGGAACTCATTTTGGACATAGCTAAGCGAATTCCCGTTCAGGTAAATGCATGTGAGCTTTGATGACTGGTGTTCAGAGCAAATAAAATGATTTTGGTAACACTTAAAAGACTTAAATCAGGCTGCACAATTAATGTGTGAAATTTAAGACATTAATAAAATAACTTATTGTGAAATAAAAGTATTATTATATTTAAGTATAATTTTTTGTTGTTGTTTTAAGCACAGTTGTATTATTACAGCAGTAATGTGAGTTAAAATAAATAATATAAAAACAGAAAGGAATGTTCATATATAAATGCATTCTTTTTGCATGAATGTTTCAGCAGCAGCATTATAGGATGTTTTTTCTTATGATAAATCCTTATCATATCCCATTTATATGCAATATATTGTAAAATATGACAAAATATAATTAGAAAACAATACAAAATAAAATAAAATAGAATGCTTAAAGGGGTCCTATTATGCTTTTTCAGTTTTTCGACTTTAGTTAGTCTGTAATGTTGCTGTTTGAGCATAATAAAGATCTACAAAGTTACAAAGCTCAAAGTCCACTTCAAAAGGAGATATTTTATTTAACAGAAATCACTTTTCAAAAACTACAACGAATGGCGCCGAGTGCTGCCAGTCACAACACACACTGACCCAGCTAACCAATCACAGCACATTTTGTATTTCAGAAGGCGGGCCTTCATTTGTTTCAGGAACAATTCGAGCCGTTCATGCCAGACTGGGGAGAGAGGTGTTGCAATAATGTAAAATATGTGAAAAAATAATGAGTTTTTCGAACAACCTAGTATGAGAGCCTGTTCTAGTACACCCCCAAAACAAAATCAAGACTTTGTAAAAGAGCATAATAGGACCCCTTTAATCAAAAACATTCTTGAGATATTAACTTAAAATTTCGGGATATACCTAAAGAAAATAAAATGTATGTCAAAAGGGTTCAGCTGGCAAAAAAAGAGGGAATCCCTCTTCTGAGGCAAGCGTAGCTATTATTGCTCATTATTAGCTAAACCAATTATTGGCACATATTCTTACTTTTTTTTATTTTATTTTTTTATCTGTTTTTTTCTTCTCTGCATTTCTCCTCTTCTCTATTTTGCTTTCTAATCTAGTTGTCTACTGAACCTGGCATTCTATATTATGAATATTGCTTGCTCTTTGACTTTAAGTCACTTTGGATAAAGCCGTCTACTAAATGCATAAATGTAATGTACCTGTCTTTAGGCTGTATGGGCCGGTTGGGGTCATGCCTCTGAGAACCCCAAACTCCCTGAATTGCTGCACAAGAACGGCATAGCCTTCATGGGCGAGTCTCAGCTATTATAATAAACCTTACAATATCACATTGATTAAATTATTCACATAGTGTGATGGTACTGCTCTTAATTTAGTGGTTTGTATCTTTCATTAGGTCCACCTAGTCAGGCTATGTGGGCTCTTGGAGATAAGATCGCCTCTTCTATTGTGGCCCAGACAGCTGGCATCCCCACACTACCCTGGAGTGGAACAGGTTAGTTTAACATCTGACTTACTGAACTATTATCAGGCTGAGGCTGAGGCTGAGCAGATGTTGATAAAACTGTATTTTTGTCTTTAAAAAAAAGATAAAACTGTATTTATTTATTTGTAAAGCTTTTTCATTGCATTGTTCATGACTATTTAAAAAAAATAAAAAAAATAAATAAATATATATATATAAAAAGTGACGTGACATGTGGTCAAGTATGGTAACCCATACTAGGAATTAGTGCTCTGCATTTAACCCATCCAACGTGCACACACACAGCAGTGAACACACACACACCGTGAACACACACCCGGAGCAGTGGGCAGCCATTTTTTGCTGTGGTGCCCGGGGAGCAGTTGGGGGTTCGGTGCCTTGCTCAAGGGCTTTTATTATGTATATATAAATACACACACTGTGCTGTATATATTTTGAAAATATTTTAATTGATATACATTTATATATTTATATTCTTATATTATATATAAATATATTTAATATATTAAAATAACATATTTTCTTAAATACATACATGCATGTGTTATTAATATACATAATAAATACACCATATACACACATATATTATGTAAAGAAAAACTTTTATTTTGGATGCGATTAATCGTTTGACAGCACTAATATATATATTTATATATATATATATATACAGTATATATATTAAAAAGACATGAAATTCCAGGTTAGGCATCAGCCCTGTTACCTTATAATTTCCCTTATCTGTATAATACAACAATGTAACTTAAAAATAATTATATAAAAAACAAAACAAAATACATCATAATAACAGCAATCATCCTTGTGAACTTGTCTTTTTCATCATCTTAGTTTAATTATTTTTGGCTGGTAAAATCTAAAATAGTCAACCCTGTTACCATGATTTTGAACAGTAAACTGGATATTTGTAGAAATATCAACATTGAAATCTTTATTACAGAGACCTTGTAGTGTCAAGACTTCGAGAACAGTGCAGCATTAAGCATAAAACTCGATCCTGTTATTTTAAGCAGGTCTCCAACATATATTAGCTACATTTTATTTATTATATTTAGTTTTTTATCACGTCAAAATAAACTCTTTATTCTGCAATTCTGCAAAACTGATTTCTGTTTCATCAAGTTCAAGCTCAACGTTTGGCATATGTTAAAAGAAAAATATTTATATCAAAAGCTGTTATGCTTTAACAATCAGCCTTCTTTCCACATTAAACACAAACAGACCCCAAATCACTTTTCTGCTGTTATCCAACTCTTTGAAATCCCCCCAAACTCAGCCCCGAATCATAATGTTGCTCTTGAGGGGAGAATGTTTCTAGACTTCCAAATATCACCTGATAAATGTCGGTGGGCAAACTATTACAATGCTCTCCCCACCCCCCTATGAAGTTTGAAGACCGCCCACCACAGGCATCCAACTCGAGACCCCATATAGATTTAAAAAGCGAGACGGATTCCGTTTGTATGACAGTCCTGAGTGCGAAGCATCGGAAGAACATCTGTCCGTCTGTGGTCCGTCTGTCTCCAACGCGCGTCTCCACTTTTTCTGAGGATGCTACAGTTACCGCAGCTCCGCCAGGGCGTTATCGCGCTTCTCATATGGTTCGCGCACTTGATGGAACAGCAGAAAGTACAAGGTAAAGTGACATTTATCCTTGGCGTGCAGTCTGAAAGCCTAAATGAGGGATATTATGCAGTGTTAAAGCCATTCTTGCATTGATCTGGACTTGAGGAGCTTGAATGGTGCGGTTGCGCACTGGCGCCTCCCGTGCGTAAAAACTAAGAAAAATTATGTAAACTTGTTTTCAAGACACCTATAAGAATTTATAGTAGATATTCATTGGAAATGCACTTCCTGTCTGATCTTGAAATGATTCATATTTTCAGATGTTATGTTAAACTTTGTGCAATAGGAATTGTGGTATTTTAATAATTTATTATGTTTATAATGGTATTATGTCTAAACGGTTGAGCATGTTGCCGTGCAATGCACAAAACGCTTACACAACCACAATATAATGTTTCTTAAGAGTCTGAGTGGATTCAGATGCCAGAAAGACTCTTTGAACATTGGGAATTGAAACCCGAGTTCCTTTAAAAAATCAAATCAATATGAGCGCGATTTACACCTGGATGATTGTAACCACTCTAAGTTCGTCTGTCTTGGGAAAGCTAGCGTGTCTCCGACATAGTGATAACACTCGTTGCCTTCTCTAGTGCAGCTCAACCAGGTCTCGTCCCTTTCGTCGATATTTGTGATATCACAAATCCCGAAAAATATACGAGTTGTTCGTTGTAGTTTTTGAAAAGTGATTTCTGTTAAATAAAATATCTCCTTTTGAAGTGGACTTTGAGCTTTGTAACTTTGCAGATATTTTTTGTGCTCAAACAGCAACATTACAGACTAACTAAAGTTGAAAAAGTAAAAAAGCGTAATAGGACCCCTTTAAAAATGAAAATTATATAAGCAATTTGTTTCGCATTCTTTCTTGGAAAAGAAAGAATCACTACAACTTCTGAATGTGACCAGCAGTTTTCGCAGTCCAGAAAAAGTAATGTCACAAATCAGAAAATGCAATTTTAACATCAATGTGAACATACAAAAAAAAATTATAAAATAATGACACTATTTTATATCAATGTTCTTTTTTCTATACATTTTAAGTACTTCTTCATATACCACAGCAAAAACTATAGTCTAAGAAAGTTCAAACATGATTAAAGGCAAGTGAACAGTCAGTAAAAAAAAAAAAAGAAAGGAAAAAAAAGGACAAATACACAATTTACAAGCATAGATCGAATAAACACTAGTATTCAGGTACAGAAGTGTAATTATTAAGTGTAAAATAACACTGCATAGTGTTCACTGTATGAATTAAATTTAGATTAATCTTTGTTAAAGCTGTGTTTTGTTGTTTGATTAACATTAGTGACATATTCAGCAGCAGGTATTTATAGGCTGCTGTCCATTTAAGACCGACTGCACGGATCCAGTATAATGATACACATCCGATTTCTTTCTCAGCTGTTTACATTCATTTAAAACATAACTGACTGCGTTTACAAGAATGATCGTCGAGAAGGGTATTTTGACATAATTCTGTGTGTGTGTCTGTTCAAACATGAGGAGATGTGAAAGACGAATTTTATCATTTATAACTATATATAGTGATACTCCAATCAGGATTTTTAGACATTTATTCAGGCCCTGAATTTCATTTTTGAAAATGGGGGGAATTCCCCTCTTAGGTGACTCTTGTGAGGGGGGAAGCAGCACGGACTATGCTTTCACACAGGAGTCCGCTACTGAATCATGGCTGTTTACCACAAACACAACATTTATCCATTAGTTTGATTTCAAATCCAAACATTGTCACTGAAATTTAAACGCATTATTCAATGTTTTTTACTTTTGCATTTACTTCTAGGTTTATATATTAAGTTGCTCAAGCAAGTGGCAAAACATTTAAACTACTTTTCTTACGTTATCACAAACTTACCATTGACAGAAATAGACAGCTCTACTGCCTTTCCTTTTATATTTAAATCTTTATTACAAGCAATCCTGCCGTTCATAAAGAGCTGTGTTTTTCTACCTCCACGAGTGCCATCTATTATTGCTTTGTTTATGTAAAAGTGCTCTTTCCCTTTAAACCTAGCCAAAAAGCCATATGCGTTGACTGTGAAACACAGTAGACTTTAATAATATGCATTTATGGTGTAATTGCTACATTTTCGTGTCAATCCATGTTCATATTTACTGAAAACAATGCGCTGTTACTTTAATTCAAACAATTGGTGTGTTCGACTTAAAGCGGCGCTGCGCAGACCGATCGGTGTATGACATCAAAGCACCCATTTACCGATCGATCTGCGCAGCGCGGCTTTAAGTCGAATACACCTAATGCCTTCTGCTGGACTTTGTTGATTATTTTACCACCTGCGAACTCACAAAGAGCTCATAAAAGGGACTTTACCTCCTCGTTGCTCCACTTTGACCTCTGCTCATTTTGTTTTGGATACACCGCTCTTTCCGTGTTCCAGAGTTCAATTTTAATCTAACCAAACATGACAAGTGTGAACTAGTGTTAATTTTGTTAATGAAGACTATGACGGAAAATGTTAGTTGACGAGCTTTTTTCCCATGAAGACGAGACGACAATAAGGTCAATAAACGATAACTATGACTATATCAACATGTAATTTCGTTGACGAAATAAGACGAGACTAAAATGTATTTAAAAAATATATATATATAATAAAATATATAAACTTTAACAAAAACCTCTTTATTTTCGTCAAAAAAAGGAGACACAATGTTATTGCGGACTGCTCTACATGCCTCTACTACGCGAGCTTTCATGAGTGCGGTTGCCAGATATCAAAAGTTCAAATCCCCGAATCAGAGCTTCGCTGTTATACAGTAGCCCCTCATTTTCTGCCCGGTGTTTTGCTTATTTTAAGCAATCTGATAGTGATGGGTCATTCTTGAACGATTCGTTCATTTTGAACGAATCTTTAATGTGACTTGGGAAGAACGAGTCATCTCAGGGAGTGATTCGTTCAGTCACGCATGCGTAACGTCCTATAGGTTCTGTACTGGAATTAGACAAGTAGTTCACCTGTTTCGAGTCTTCAGGTTTTTCGAGTCGTTTGTTCATCACGTGACAGACCCATAAGCTTAAACTATGCAGTCTGAGCCGGAAAGAGAATTGATTAGTTCATCTCTCGAGTCTTCGGGTATTTCGAGTCATTCATTCATCACGTGACAGACCCATAAGCTTAAACTATGCAGTCTGAGCCGGAAAGAGACTTAATAATAATAATAACCAATTCTTTATTACCTTTGTTACAACATTCAGTGTTATGGAAACGAACTATCATGACAGAAATTCACACATTTATAAACTGTAATAAGTAAAAAGCTACAATTTGAGACCAGAAATGCATCACGTAACTGTAAGAAATAATAACTATGCACCCGTTTGTAAGGAAGCGTGAAATTTTTTTTATAAAAATTTATATAATAAAAAGCCTATAATAAATCAGTACACTAGATGAGGTAAAATAGACTGTGAGTCCACATTCTATTGATTTGTGCTTACTGGTGAAACTGCAATACCTGAAATGCAAAAGTAAATTTCTTAAATGACAATGTAACAAAGTTCGTAGTTCGGGAAGAAGGAGGCGGGAACCGGCGAACGCTCAAAGAAAACTTTAATATGTGAAATTTTTTTTTATAAAAATTTATATAATAAAAAGCCTATAATAAATCAGTACACTAGATTAGGTAAAATAGACTGTGAGTCCACATTCTATTGATTTGTGCTTACTGGTGAAACTGCAATACCTGAAATGCAAAAGTAAATTTCTTAAATGACAATGTAACAAAGTTCGTAGTTCGGGAAGAAGGAGGCGGGAACCGGCGAACGCTCAAAGAAAACTTTAATAAAATAAACAAACACAAAATATTGCTATTTTGTGTTTGTTTATTTTATTAAAGAACCAAATCACAAAATAAAATCCAGGCCTGGTCCTCTCTCCTCCAACACTGTCGTCACTCCTCCTTTTATCCTTCCGGAGCTCCTCCGTGGGACTCGAGACCGGTGAGTGGCGCAGGTGTCGCGCATTAGCATGTACTCCACCGGCCTTGCTCCGTTCCCACGGCTCTCGGCCCCACCTCTCTCGTCACAGACAACAATCATTACGATTATAAATTTGAGCAAAAATAATTTTTGTCAGTTTAACCATTATACAGCATGACGAAAATGTGACTAAAGATTTGACTAAAACCTTACTAAAATGCTCATATATTTCATTGACTTAAACTTGGCGAAACAAAAACAGGGCAATGTTGACTAAATATGATAACTAAAATGTACATTTGAGTAAGACTAAGACTAAATAAAAAAATGGCTGCCAAAATTAATACTGCTGTACGATTAATTAATAATTATCTTCTTGCTAAAATTTCAAGTTTTCATTGACTAAAACTAGACTAAAACTAAATAGGATAAGGTTGATTAAATATGATAAAAACTAACAAGGATATTTAACACTGGACTAAGACTAAAATTGAAAATAGCTGATTATATTGCTGAAAATTAACACTAGTGTGAACACACCCTTAATTTGGCAGGTGTACTAAACCCACCACAGCCCCTTTCTATCCAGCATTTACTACCATCTTGATTGTGGGTTTGGTGTTTGACAGTTATTGTGTGTTTGTACAGGGCTGACTGTAGAGTGGACAGAGAATGACCAGAAGAAAGGAATTGTTAATGTCCCTACTGAGCTGTACGAGCAGGGCTGTGTACATGATGTGGAGGCTGGACTGAAGGTATACTACACACTTACATCAAGCACAATGTGGCGTTCATAATTTAGTCCAGTTAGTAAGAGAGCATGTTTTGATTGACAGGCGGCTGAACAAATAGGTTACCCTGTGATGGTGAAGGCGTCTGAAGGCGGAGGAGGAAAAGGTATCCGGAAAGTCAACGGTGCAGAAGACTTGCCCAACCTCTTTAGACAGGTCAGAGTTGCTCTTCACTGCCACACTACAATTTCAAACACCTGTTAACTTTCCAAAACTTACCAAAATACTTGTTACTCAGGTTCAAGCTGAGGTTCCGGGTTCCCCGATCTTTGTCATGCAATTGGCCAAACATGCTCGCCACCTGGAGGTACAGATTTTGGCTGATCAGTACGGTAACGCCATCTCCCTGTTCGGCCGCGACTGCTCCGTCCAGCGCAGACACCAGAAAATCATTGAAGAGGCTCCGGCTACTATTGCCACCTCTGATGTGTTTGAGGATATGGAGAAGGTATCACTGACTATAATGATCACTGAGCATCAGATTCTGAAGAAGTCGAATGTTTTCCTAAACTAATGAATAATGTATATGCCATCAGGAAACACTGGGTTACTTAAACAGAAAAAAGAAATGTGTGGAACTTTGCATCTCTCTGTTTCAGTGCGCAGTGAGGTTGGCAAAGATGGTGGGCTATGTGAGTGCAGGCACAGTGGAATATCTCTACAGTCAAGACAGCAGCTTTTACTTCCTAGAGCTCAACCCTCGTCTTCAAGTGGAACATCCTTGTACTGAGATGGTGGCTGATGTTAACCTGCCTGTGGCCCAACTGCAGGTCTGCATGTGAATTTGTGTTGTATATATACAATATTTAGGAATATTGCAGGTTAAATAAACATTTATTTAAAATTAGGGCTGTCAAAATTAACGCATTAATAACGCATAAATAGGGTTGGGTACCGAAACCCGTTGCCAATATGGTGAGCGATCGATTTAAATATTTGTCCTGGTTCTCTGAAATGGACGTAACACGCATGGGCGTCGCTAGGCCATTTTTAGCGGGGCTATAGCGGTTAGCTACATAAACTGTACACAAATTCATGATCGCCTCAGAGTCAGTCCTCTTTAAATTTCATATGAAAACGGCGGCAGACTTTTCGTCTCCTCCCCGTCTTTCAGCGCACTCTTCAATTCCGCAGACCGTGGCGGTGCAGCACGAGCGGGCTCAAATATAAGACACAAGGTGTGTGTTTATCGATAGATTGTTATAATATCTGTATCTGTGCAGTTCTTTGTCACAAATACAGTTTACAAAAGGTCACGAGGGAGCAATCGTGGCATGCCATACAGTAATTCACAGAACTGATTAAAGACGATGACAGACAGCACTCAGTCAATTCACTCATTATAACTAAAAATCGAGAGTGATTGACAGAGATACAGTAGAAACATTATGTGCGGTTTTGTATTAAATAATGACCCAGATCGTGAAATACATTTATTAGCCTTAGAGTAAGGGAAGCACAACTCGGGAAATGAGAGCATCCAAGGAGCATGTGAATGCTATGTATATTTATTTTTTATATTTTTAATGTTATCCATTGTTTTTTATGTGGCTCTTTTTAAAAAAGTATCGGTTCAGGCACCGTTTAGGCACCGGTACCGTTTTAAAAGTATCGATTTTGCACCGATATCGTAAAGCAACCCAATTGATACCCAACCCTACGCATTCACGCAAATTAATTTTAATGGCACTAATTTTATTAACGCGTGATTAATGCAGCATTCATTGTCTGTTTGACCCATGGCCTAGCCCATAGTTGGAGAAATGGAGATGCACAGTGTTGCAAACTTTGCGACTTTTTTCACTAGATTGAGGCCCTGTCCACACGGAGACGCATTTAGCTGTATATGCATACATTTTGTATTGTATAGGCGTTACACACAGATCCGGCGTTTTGGGAGAGTGAAACCGATATTTTTTGAAACCGGGTCCCAGAGTGGATAATTCTGAAAATGCGGCCCTTGCGTTTTCGTGTGGACAGCGAATCCGTATATTTTCTGAAATGATGACGTCATCAGCCCACGTCTCGCCCCAAGTCAGACACCGATAAGTCACGTAACAACAACATGAACAAACACTGAAGGATTTTTTATTAACTAACATTAACACAGATTAATAAATGTATTGTTCCATGTTCGTTTGTATACCGCACGCTAGGTTTATGCGCATAGTCCAAGTCTTCTTCGTTTTTAGTGTATCTCTGTGGCAGAAATACAGTGCCACATACTGGTCTGGCATGTATACTACATCGTTTTGTGGTTTCATATGGATGCAGATATTTCTTGAGACGAGGGGGAAAAAAGATTGGATAGGGAAAGCTCTGGCTTCGTGTGGATGTAGCCTTAGAGACTTTTCAGACCCCTTTAGCGACTTTTTTTTCTTCTCAAAATAGCGTCTACTGTAGCGACAAGTCTAGCGGCTTCATGGACAAACAAAGTATTGAGATGAAATTTTGTTATTGACCAAATACTTATTTTCCACCATAATTTGCAAATAAATTCTTTAAAAATCCTACAATGTGATTTTCTGGATTTTTCTTTCTCATTTTGTCTCTCATAGTTGAGGTATACCTATGATGAAAATTACAGGCCTCTCTCATCTTTTTAAGTGGGAGAACTTGCACAATTGGTGGTTGACTAAATACTTTTTCCCCCACTGTACATTTTTACTGTTTTACCAGATATTATTTTTGTGGTAATAATCAGCAGACCACAGATGCTGCCAGTAGTGTTTAAGTAGTATTTACCAAAATATTGCTTAATAAATGTAATGTGGACTTGTAAGTTTTTCATTTACTAAACCAACTTTGCCACACAGCACCTTTGCCACGGATCTCCACAATCGCTAGACTGGCAGCATCTAGTGAACAATACAGTACAGTCTTTTGCGGCAGACACTTGACCACGTGACCACTGTCTTTGCTATGTAGGTCACTTGGCTGAGGCCAGTGTGCTATAGGTCCAGTAGGAGTGGGAGAGGGTGTTAATACGCTTATGTAAGACACAAAGACTGCTGCAGATGAATGAGGGAAATTGATGGAGAGAGAAAAGGAGAGACTGAAATGGGCAACAGGGGGAGAGGAACGCAGTGGGGAGGCATTCATTAATTGCATAATGAAGTGAGTGTAGAAATTAGGAGGAAAAGTACGTATTTAATGACTGAAGAAATGTGAACTCATGTATCTTCTTATGCATATTTTACTCATGTCAAAGGGCCTGAATATCATAGAGACTGCATGTGGACTGTTTTTAATTTTATGCAATCATTAACAGTAAAATTAAACAATGCTGTTTTTAATTTACTTGTTTTTGGTAATTTTGTGACACTTATGTTCTGTCATTCAGATCGCTATGGGCATCCCACTTCACCGCATTAAAGACATCAGGGTGATGTACGGGATGCAGCCATGGGGAGATTCCCCCATTGACTTTGATGGACTCTCCACTACCCCCTCTCCGCGAGGACATGTAATTGCAGCTCGAATTACTAGCGAGAACCCAGATGAGGTGTGTGATCCTGACTATTTTAATATTTAAAGCGTTAAAGGAAATTTGATAAAGCTCTGACATGGCAACAAAAAATGGCTTGTTTAATTCTAAGGGTCCGAGAGGGTGGAAAAAACCTGAACATGTCTTTTGTGCAACATTTATTTTAAGAAGCCTTGATGAATATTTGTAGTAGATGTCATGGGAAAAATCTGATTGTAATGTAATATACACTACTGTTCAAAAGTTTGGGGTTAGAAAGATTTTTGGTCACTTTATTTTAAGGACCTATTCTCACTATTAACTAACTATTAACTATGACTTTTGCATAAATAAACTCCTAATTTGCTGCTTATTGAAAGATAGTAAGGTCATTGTTAAGTTTAGATATGGGGTAGGATTAAGGGATCTAAATATGGTCATACAGAATAAAGGCCTGTTCACACCAAGGACGATAACTATAAAGATAACGATAAAGATATAGTTCTAAAAATCGTTCTCAATATTAAAGGGGTCATATGATGCTATTTTAAAGATCATTATATTTATTTATTTATTTTTTTTTTTTTAGAAATAGCCAGCCTTGTACTCTTCTAGGTTCAAAAACTGTCATCCATAAAATGCGTTGCACAAATTCGAACATCTGGGTTGTGCTGTTCTGTTGTAAATAAATCTTAACCAATGATTCCTAATTGCATCTACTTCCGGAAGGCCAAATAAAGTGCTTTTGCTTTCGCACTGTGGCAGACGGGTGTGTGCTTAGTATAAACAGACGATATGGTTCGCTGGTGTGGACGGGGCTTAAGACATTAATATGTGCTTCATAAGTACTAATAAACCACCAATATGCTAGTAATATGCGTGCTAATAAACAACTAGTTCATAGTGAGAATTTGTCCCGAAACTAGTTACCAGATTTTTTTTTTTAAAGAAAGAAAGAAATTAATACTTTTTTTCCCTCCATTTTAAATTGATCAAAAGGGAAGAAATGCTGCTCTTTTGAACTTTCTATTCATCAAAGAATCCTGAAAAAATGGTTTCCTCAAAAATATCAATAAGGAGCACAACTGTTTTCAAGGAATCACAGGAGTAAATTACATTTAATATATAAAACAGAAATAATTCACTGTATTGCTGTTGTTTACTTCATTATAAGTTAAAACAGCAATGCTTTATTATAAAATAAATGCAGCCTTGTTGAACATAAAAGATTTCTTTCAAAAACTTTTTTTTTTTAAATCTTACCGACCCCAAAACTCTTGAACGGGAGTAGTGTAATTATTAGAAAATAATATAAAGTTTAAATAATTACCATTTAAACCACTTCTGATGATGCTTTGTCTGTGTTGGGTATTTTTGTGTGTCAGGGCTTTAAGCCCAGCTCAGGAACTGTCCAGGAGTTAAATTTCCGCAGTAACAAGAATGTGTGGGGCTACTTCAGTGTAGCGGCTGCTGGAGGGCTGCATGAGTTTGCAGACTCTCAGTTTGGCCATTGCTTCTCCTGGGGAGAGAACCGTGAGGAGGCCATCTCGTGAGTACTGCCAGTCATCTGTTTTTCAGAAGAATATTCGTTACAATCACCTTACACCACTACAATGTGATTTCACATAGAATCTTCTGTAAAATATACATACCCTTTTCTTTTTTTTTTCGTTGACTGCATTTAGTCACTAAGAAAACGATAACAAAAGAAATATTATTTATTTTGCTGTATGTGTCATCTTAGAAACTTGGTGGTGGCCCTCAAGGAGCTGTCCATCAGAGGAGACTTCAGGACTACAGTGGAGTATCTTATAAAGCTGCTAGAAACAGAAAGTTTCCAGCACAATAGCATCGACACAGGTTGGCTGGACAGACTCATCTCAGAGAAGATGCAGGTGCGGGAAAAAACCCTCTTCATTTCACATCACAGCTCTAATGAACATGCCCATTATTGCTTCCTGCCATTTTCAGTCAAATCACCTGTGACCGCAAGACACTGTGATATTTCCTGTCTGGTGCGCAAATATAATTCCCTATATTGAGTTCACTATATCACATCATTATAACTGTGTGTGTGTGTGTGTCTAGGCCGAGCGTCCTGACACTATGCTGGGTGTAGTGAGTGGAGCTCTGCATGTGGCTGATGTCAATCTCAGAAACAGTGTGTCCAATTTCCTGCATTCACTGGAGAGGTAACAAACCCCAAAAATTTGAAAGCTAAGACTTTATTTGATACCATAAATAACAAAGCTTATTGCAATTACTGGATGGGAGGTGTGCTACTGTGACCGCAAGACACTGTGATATTTCCTGTCTGGTGCGCAAATATAATTCCCTATATTGAGTTCACTATATCACATCATTATAACTGTGTGTGTGTGTGTGTGTCTAGGCCGAGCGTCCTGACACTATGCTGGGTGTAGTGAGTGGAGCTCTGCATGTGGCTGATGTCAATCTCAGAAACAGTGTGTCCAATTTCCTGCATTCACTGGAGAGGTAACAAACCCCAAAAATTTGAAAGCTAAGACTTTATTTGATACCATAAATAACAAAGCTTATTGCAATTACTGGATGGGAGGTGTGCTACAAGTAATGTTTTGGTAAAGCAATGCATTTTAAAGTAATATGATTTGTTCAAGTATCAACTCGATAGCATAGACCGATTTTGAAAATAATGATTTTGGAGTTAATTGAAATTGATTAATGAGTTGTCAACCCAGCCCTACTAAGTATGTAGTTGTTATTGCAATCATAGGATGTTTTGCTCTTTTCTCCTGCGTCTGTAGAGGGCAGGTTTTACCTGCACACACGCTGTTAAACACAGTAGATGTTGAGCTAATCTATGAGGGGACCAAATATGTTCTCAAGGTGACCAGACAGTGTCCTAACTCTTACGTGGTCATCATGAATAACTCTGCGGAGGTGGATGTTCATCGGTTGAGCGACGGGGGTCTGCTGCTCTCGTATGACGGCAGCAGCTACACTACCTACATGAAGGAGGAAGTGGACAGGTAGGATTCTGAGAGTAAATGCATGATGGAAAACACAGACATTTTGAGAGCTATGAGAGCTGTTCATGTGAGAGTGTTCAAGGTGCTCAATGTGTTAATTCATCATTTAAAGTCCAGAACTACATTTAAATATTGGATACCTTTATATGAACTAAAAATGAGAATACCATCTATAACACCGTGTCCTAACCAGACATGATGCCGCGACATGCGATAAGAGGTATCTTTTCCATGTTAGTCTGAGTTTTTGTCCTAGAGGTGGATGTTCATCGGTTGAGCGACGGAGGTCTGCTGCTCTCGTATGACGGCAGCAGCTACACTACCTACATGAAGGAGGAAGTGGACAGGTAGGATTCTGAGAGTAAATACATGATGGAAAACACAGACATTTTGAGAGCTATGAGAGCTGTTCATGTGAGAGTGTTCAAGGTGCTCAATGTGTTAATTCATCATTTAAAGTCCAGAACTACATTTAAATATTGGATACCTTTATATGAACTAAAAATGAGAATACCATCTATAACACCGTGTCCTAACCAGACATGATGCCGCGACATGCGATAAGAGGTATCTTTTCCATGTTAGTCTGAGTTTTTGTCCTAACCAGCCGCTACAGAGACACGAGACAAGTGACAGGGGATTCTATTTTAGAAACGGTTTCTATTTTCTGTGCAATGCGGCTGGAACAACAACATACAAACTATAACAATAGTTTTACAAGGTACTCATTATGTGCTTTATTCAATGTTAAAAGTGTCTAATGTGAGTTTGAATATAATTTTGCATGGCCTTTATAGCCATACTGAAAGCAACTATAGATAGTTTACCTCAGATCTTGAAACTAAATTAAAGCAAACATGTACATTAAAACTGTGAACTCGATGCGAACCAACAAGCATATTCCATAACAAAGGTAGTATCAGTCACTCAGTATGTACATTTAATAATGTTAAAAAAGTTTAAGATTTATGAATTAGATTAGAAACTTTTCCATTTCATTGAGAGTGCAGTGCGCTTCTCGCTTCTGAGTGGCTGTGATACATGAGTGATTCTGTCCCGTTGCGTTGTCGTGTCTCGTCTGGTGTGGACAGCCAAATTACTTGTTGCTGGTATCTTGTCGCATCATGTCTGGTTAGGACACGGTGTAATGCTTTCAATAAATTAATGCAGTCAGTTATTTATACTATATATATATATATATGTATATGTATGTGTGTGTATATATATATATATATATATATATATATATATATATGTATGTGTGTATATATAGTATATAGTAGTCTATATCTGAGTCAGATCCGCTAGTGTGTGATGCCTCGTGGTACCATCACAGAGAGGCTCAAAATCACTTTCCAGTAGGGATGCACCGATACCACTTTTTCCAGTACTCGCCTGATACTGATACTTTTATTTTTGGTACTTGCCGATACCGAGCACCAATATTTCTATTGCATTTGTACATTTTTAAATATTGGGTACAGACAGGGTGCGAACTACGGGGGAGCTAGGGGGAGCTCGGCTCCCTTTAAGAAGACATGGGCTCCCCTGAAAACGTGATTTGTGAAATTTTGGGGGGTCTCAAAAAATATTGACTGTTAATTTTTGGACCCAAATTTGTATCAATTTTACTGGTAGTCCACTGTATGAAGAATTTTTGGGTATGATTTGTCACAGTTTACTTTATTTTGCTATCCTCACTTACATAAATGAACTATAGTGTCCTGCACCCACTAGTAAAAAAATATCAAAAATTATATCTGGTCTCTGAATAATTTTTGGTTTGACTGTATATCATTCGGTTATTTTCACACTTAATTATGCCCATTAAAATGTATTTTACTAGTTTTTGTTACTTTCACTGTTAATTTTTTTGCTCTATGGTACATCATCTTTAATTTAATAGCATTAGAGCTGCTCCATTGCAGCGACGTAGTACTGTAATCACGCGCTTTGCTGTAATAATGCAGGGAACCACTCGCTATAAATCTCCTAACTGTGATATTTTCAGAAATAGAAGTCACGTTTTTTTCATCTGAAATGTGCTGCGATTTATATTCCAAAGCCACTCATATAATGCAGAAACACTCAAGCAAGCAAAACACGCAAACGCGTGCATTTATTTGTACTGATGCTGAAGGTTGAAAATAAATGATGTTTATAGTGAATGCCCCTATAAATGGTCTTATTTTTACGATTGAGTTTTAATCCAAATGATGCGTGTGCTAAGTGAGTGAACATCAAAGATCACACAACAGAAGTGCGTGCTCTCTCTCTCTCTCTCTCTCTCTATGATCTTCCCACCCCTATCCGGAATGCTGAATCCCTGACCATTTTCAAGCGACAGCTGAAAACTCCTCTCTTTCGCCTTTCGATGTTGATTAAAAAAGAAATAATATTTATTGCATATAAAATTAATTGCATATAAAATTTGTAATTATAAATATATTTTTCATAAATATATTTTCACATTTTTCACACAAAATTAACATGGAAACAGCATAAAAACAGTATTTTAATTTGTTATTAGCATCTTTTTACTAAATACTATCAATGCAGGCCAGTATCACTGATACCAGTACTGATAAGAGATGATAAAAAGTTTCTGACAGAAATAGTTACTTGTAGAAAATCATTTGAGTATGCATTTTATTTTATTCTTTAGGTATCGCATCATTATTGGTAACAAGACATGTGTGTTTGAAAAAGAGAATGATCCTTCACTCCTGCGCTCACCATCTGCTGGGAAACTCATCCAGTATACTGTGGAGGATGGTGGACACCTGTTTGCTGGACAGAGTTATGCAGAAATCGAGGTGTGTGTAAGCTTTACCTAATTTCCAGAAGTCAGGGTGCCAGATTTTTTTATTTATTTTTTTTTACAGTCAAGAGTTGTGACGTAAGTAGCAGACCTATGTATTCTGCTTGGATCTCAAAAGTTTTATCTTAATTTGCACTTATATTTTTTTCTTCTAACTGTCTAAAAGTGTGATTTGTGAGGTAGTTTCTTTTACATGTCAATTATACAAGCCCTTCCTGTCTAAGTGTGATAGTAAGAACTTTGGCTATGCAAGACTGGTATGGATTTTCTTTGTTTGCCTCATTCTAAACATTATGTATTGTCTTGTAGGTGATGAAGATGGTGATGACCCTGACGGCCTCAGAGTCTGGTTGTATTCACTATGTGAAGAGAGCAGGTGCAGTGCTGGAGCCGGGCTGTATCATCGCCAAACTGCAGCTGGACGATCCCAGCAGAGTACAGCAGGTATATGCATGTTACATGTGATAAATGTGTTGTGATAGGTTCGCTTTCAGAAGTTACAGAAATTAAATGGTTTAGTTTTTAAAATGAGTGTGTCTGTTTCAGGCGGAGCTGTTTACAGGAACATTACCCAGTGTTCAGTCCGTGGCTCTCAGGGGAGAGAAGCTTCACAGAGTCTTCCACAGCACTCTGGATCACCTAGTGCACATAATGAATGGCTACTGTCTGCCAGAGCCCTTCTTCAGTGCCAAGGTGAGAAAACAGATTATTAACAGCTCCTTGATAATTAAACACCTGTAACCAATGAAGCCCTTCATCCACATTATAGGAGTTCATAGCAGTGGTTCTCAAATTTTGGACTCCAAGGCCCCTTAATGTCCACATAAATATTTAAGTCTAACAATCCTAGTTTATTATTATTATTTTTTTTTTTTAATAAAATGTCAGGATTCCAGAAGTTTTAAGTGCTGAATGTTTTTCAAAGTTCTCACTCTTGTAAACCAGTGAATTTACATGACTTTTCCACTTGTTCATAATTTACTGGATAATAAAAAAAAATTCCTCAATTTCTACCCAATATATCTTAGAGCTGGGCATAACTAGAAAAATGTATATTCATTATAAAAATGGTCATTTCAGATGACTTTTCCATGTCTAGAATCACACATTTAAAAGTAAACTACCTCATATATCCAGGCTTTTCCTAACTGTGGGAATCTTAGTTATTCATAGAAAAAAAAGTTGCTGAGGGGGGTTGAATTAAAATAAGAATCATTCATTCATTCATTCATTCATTCATTCATTCATTCATTACTTTTTATTTTTAGCTTATTTTAATACTTAAAGGTGCTGTATGTAAGTTTTTGACTCTACTAAAGCATAAAAATACCATAATATGTTTGCAGATATTTAAGAAACATGCTAAGTTAGCATACTTGTTTATCTGAAAAACAATGCTACAGTCAGTTATTCTCCTTTGAAATTGTGTGTTCCGGGCCGGAATGTCGGTCTCTGTTTTAGTTTGTGAAACCCACCCACTGCCAGTTTACCCAATTGTATTTCGGGACCCCGGGTTGCCAGTTGACGGTTGCCCGTTCCTGTTGGTGTCATCAATCTGGCAACCTGTGTGTGTGTCAAGTCTGAGGAGGAGGGGCCCGGTGAAAAAACCCTCCCAATATTTTGAATTTGGACTGCAATACCTAGTTCAACCACTCAGTGTCAATCCTACATACAGCACCTTTAATATAATGAATGGCTACTGTCTGCCAGAGCCCTTCTTCAGTGCCAAGGTGAGAAAACAGATTATTAACAGCTCCTTGATAATTAAACACCTGTAACCAATGAAGCCCTTCATCCACATTATAGGAGTTCATAGCAGTGGTTCTCAAATTTTGGACTCCAAGGCCCCTTAATGTCCACATAAATATTTAAGTCTAACAATCCTAGTTTATTATTATTATTTTTTTTTTTTAATAAAATGTCAGGATTCCAGAAGTTTTAAGTGCTGAATGTTTTTCAAAGTTCTCACTCTTGTAAACCAGTGAATTTACATGACTTTTCCACTTGTTCATAATTTACTGGATAATAAAAAAAAATTCCTCAATTTCTACCCAATATATCTTAGAGCTGGGCATAACTAGAAAAATGTATATTCATTATAAAAATGGTCATTTCAGATGACTTTTCCATGTCTAGAATCACACATTTAAAAGTAAACTACCTCATATATCCAGGCTTTTCCTAACTGTGGGAATCTTAGTTATTCATAGAAAAAAAAGTTGCTGAGGGGGGTTGAATTAAAATAAGAATCATTCATTCATTCATTCATTCATTACTTTTTATTTTTAGCTTATTTTAATACTTAAAGGTGCTGTATGTAAGTTTTTGACTCTACTAAAGCATAAAAATACCATAATATGTTTGCAGATATTTAAGAAACATGCTAAGTTAGCATACTTGTTTATCTGAAAAACAATGCTACAGTCAGTTATTCTCCTTTGAAATTGTGTGTTCCGGGCCGGAATGTCGGTCTCTGTTTTAGTTTGTGAAACCCACCCACTGCCAGTTTACCCAATTGTATTTCGGGACCCCGGGTTGCCAGTTGACGGTTGCCCGTTCCTGTTGGTGTCATCAATCTGGCAACCTGTGTGTGTGTCAAGTCTGAGGAGGAGGGGCCCGGTGAAAAAACCCTCCCAATATTTTGAATTTGGACTGCAATACCTAGTTCAACCACTCTGTGTCAAACATACAGCACCTTTAATTGATCTTATTTTAAAAATAGGTTATTTTGATTGAAAGTTTGCTGAGGCCCCAGCATTTGGTTGAGAATTTGGTTGTGACATTTTTGCTACTTTCATTCATTAAAAATATTAACAGTAATAAATAATGAAATGACAAATGCACACGAGACTGCTGATATTGATGGTAGAATAGTAACCATTAAATAAGTTGAAAATTAATAATAATAGTGACCACCCTTAGTTTCATTATTGGATGACAAAGAAATATGTCATTGCCATGTACTTCTTACTTCTGCAGTTAAATTTTTTTTAAGAAAATCCATATTGCATTAGATATTACAAAATACCCTAGTGAAAAAAATTTAAATTCTTAAATGTATTTGAAATAAATTTATTTTGTGCTAAGTATACTACAAATACATTTACATATGTATGTGCTTAATAAAATTTATATTTTTGGTATACTAAAGTTGTATACTTGTTAAGTCTGCTAAATTGGAACAGCTAATTTTGTCCTTAATGCACTTTAATTGTGTGGAAGTAGTGCTGAAGTCCAACTAAAGATAAACTGAAGTATATTTGATTGTACTAAACTGGAACTATTGCAATTGAAATATTACCTTTTTTTTTACTAGGGTAGGCTTGGTGTGAAAAGGCGTTATGATTTGTATGTGTGTGTTATAGCTGAAAGAATGGGTGGAGCGTCTGATGAAGACTCTGAGGGACCCCTCTCTGCCGCTGCTGGAGCTTCAGGACATCATGACGAGCGTTTCAGGCCGTATCCCTCCTGCCGTAGAGAAGTCTATCAAGAAAGAAATGGCTCAGTACGCCAGCAACATCACCTCTGTCCTCTGCCAGTTTCCCAGTCAGCAGGTGCTACTTGTGGCCCTTTGAGTTCATGTCTTTCTGAAGCTACGAGACTGTGACCATTGTTTATAAATGTTGTCAAATTGTCATGTCAGGTTGCCAATATACTGGACAGTCATGCTGCCACGCTGAACAGGAAGTCAGAAAGAGAAGTCTTCTTCATGAACACGCAGAGCATTGTACAGCTGGTTCAGAAGTTAGTAAATCGTTCAAACAACCAACACGTGTATGTACACACACAATCACAAACGCAGGTTAACTGGCCCTCTTGTGTGTGGTGTACACAGGTACCGCAGTGGCATCAGAGGGCATATGAAGGCAGTGGTGATGGACCTCCTCAGGCAGTATTTAAGAGTGGAAGTTCAGTTTCAACATGGTAAGACCGCATCCTATATGCCTGCAAATTATGAGATATCGCTGGAAACTTAGGATGTTGCATTATTTTATTTTATTGTGTGAACACTGGATGGCAGTGCAACACTGGTTCATTCATACTGGTGTATTAAATCATTTAAATGAAAAGATTAAACTATTTACTAAATAGAAATAAAAAATAGAACAAAAAAATCCAACATGTGAATAATGAAAAGTAATGAAATAACGTTTTAATACAAATATTACTAAAGTAAAAAAAATAATTAACTAAAAAGTAGAATAAGACAAAAGATATATCTCATAAAAATGCCAGCTACCTATAAATTCAGAAAACGTATTTAAAAAAAATTTTTCGGATAATTGCCAGTTATTTTATTGTTAACTAAATCTACAGCTATTAAAAATCATTTTTGGTGATTGAAATAAAGCTGAAATAAAATATAAATAAAATATTAGATGAAAAACTTAAAACTCTTGAAATATGAAAATAAAAAATGTTGCTTTGGCCACTAACTGAAAAAAATAAAGAAGTTTAAGTTGAAATACTCAAATTAAAGCAGTATAGAAATATAAAACTAAGAAAAAAATGACAAAAACACACAACAAAATTACTAAAACCTAAACTAAACTAATAGTATAATAAAAAAGCTAATCCAAAATATGAATAAATATTATAATAGAATGTAAATACTACTAAAATAACACATAAGGGATTTGAATAAAATGTTAACTTGAATTTAATACATTAAGAATGTTTGCTTTTTCTATTCTCACCATTTTATTACCTGTTTTTCTTTTTCTTTTTAGGTGTTTTTTGTTTGTATTAATTAATTCACTATTCATTTGTGTATGTGTGCGTGTATGTTATTCCCAGGTCACTATGACAAGTGTGTATTTGCACTACGAGAGGAAAACAAAGGGGACATGGCTAATGTGCTCAACTACATATTCTCTCATGCACAAGTCACAAAGAAGAACTCTCTGGTCACCATGTTGATTGTGAGTGCAGAGTCACAATTTTCAAACCGAGAGAAACAGGAAATGTGGAAACAAGAATTTTTTTTATATATATATATAATTCAGAAGGCCATCTTGTAGATTGCAGTTGCACAATGTAATAACAGTCAAGATGTAATAAAAGCATGTTTATATTTAGTCTGTGACTCCAGTCCACTCGTGATCAATGTTCTTAACTTCTCTCTGTAGGATCAGCTGTGTGGACGAGACCCTACTCTGACAGATGAGCTCATGGCAATACTCACAGAACTCACACAGCTCAGCAAGACCACTAATGCCAAGGTGGCGTTGCGGGCACGGCAGGTTCTCATTGCCTCGCACCTTCCGTCATACGAGCTGCGACACAATCAGGTGGAATCCATCTTCCTGTCTGCCATCGACATGTACGGGCATCAGTTCTGCATTGAAAACCTGCAGGTAGGACATGCTGGATGTATGATGACTGCTCTATAGTGCCATCTGCTAGACAGCGTTTTGCCACTATTTACACTTTACAATTGAATAAATGACTCCCATTTATTTACATATGAGAAATTTGAATTGAATTGACTATGTTAACAGAAATGTGTAAAAAAATGAATGAGAATGGCAGAATTTTCTAAATTGCAGTTGCAAATAATTTTAATTGACTTTTGTGGAAAAAATGTAAATGGTTACATTAATTACATCAACGTGAGCTGATTAATTATTCCCTGATATGCAGACATTTTCTCCAGACATACTTTCATAAGTTCAGTACTGTTAAATTATTTAAAACACACTTTACACTTTATTATATTGTTTAGTAATGTACTATTATAGTTATATAAAATGAACAAGCCATGTAGGTACTGCAACACAGTTTTGTAACAGTATCAGTATGTTTAATAATAATATGATAAATGAAAATGAATTAAATGTACATTAATAGTGACTTCAGTTTATTGTTTAATTCATTCAGCTAGTTGTGCAAACAAATAAATGCGGTTCTTTTGAACTTTCTATTTATCAAAGAATCCTTAAAAAAAAAAGATCACATGACACTAAACACTGGAGTAATGGCTGATGAAAATACATCTTTATCATCACAGGAATAAATTACATTTTAAAATATGTGACCCTGGAGCACAAAACCAGTCACAAGTAGCACGGGTATATTTGTAGCAATAGCCAACAATACATAGTATGGGTCAAAATTATTGATTTTTCTTTTATGCCAAAAATCATTAGGATATTAAGTAAAGATCATGTTCCTTGAAGATATTTTGTAAATGTCCTACCATAAATATATCAAAACTAAATTTTTGATTAGTAATATGCATTGCTAAGAACTTCATTTGGACAACTTTAAAGACGATTTTCTCAGTATTTCGATTTTTTTGCACCCTCAGATTCCAGATTTTCAAATAGTTGTATCTCGGCCAGCTTTCAGATGATGTACAAATCTCAATTTCAAAAAATTTACCCTTATGACTGGTTTTGTGGTCCAGGGTCACATATATAAAAATATAAATTGTAATAATGTAGTGTAATATTATTGTCAATTTTATTTATTGTATTTATGTATTGCCATTTATTTCAAAAACATTTCAAAAAATGTTAATTCTTAGTCCTAACTTTTGAACTGTAGTGTATTAAAATGTTGTAATATTTTGCTCTTGAACATTGTGTGTTAAGTTATTGATACCTTTCTTGATTTTTTTCTAGAAACTGATCCTGTCAGAGACATCCATCTTTGATGTGCTGCCAAATTTCTTTTACCACAGTAATCAGGTGGTACGGATGGCTGCTTTAGAGGTAAGACTGTGTCATTTTACATTTATCCAAGAAATTAAGTATTTATTTTTGTCTTGTTAAGAATCAAGAACATGGTTCTCACTCTCATTTCTCAGGTGTATGTTCGTAGAGCTTATATCGCTTATGAACTCAACAGCGTCCAGCACCGTCAGCTGAAGGACAACACGTGCATCGTGGAGTTCCAGTTCATGCTGCCCACATCCCACCCCAACAGGTACCTCAAGATGTACCGCACCCCTGCTTCCCCCATCTCTCCCACCCCTCGCTGGGACTGTGGAGGAGCATGTCAAAACACTATAAAAGAAAGGGCTGACTGGGGCAAATGTGTTTGAATTCTCTGCATAGATCAAAGCTACTGGTTGTTTGTGACACAAATTCTTCTCCACTGTGCCACAATCCACTTCCCCTCACACCTTTAAAATGCTCTATTTGTGCACAATCTATGCCACTGATTTAGTGTCTGCTGTGATCAGAAGGTTTGTATGAAGTAGGAGTAGAAAGTGACAGGGTCTGAATCACAGGGCCAAAAAAAGCTCTTCTTTAAGGTGTCTCTCATCTGTGCTGGCCACATCCGTGTGTTTCAGGTGACAAACCAAAGAACGCGACCAATGGGATATGCTTACTGAATGTTCTGATTGGCTGTCTACCAGCTCGCACTTCTTGCACTTTTTAAAATTTTTTATTATTCTCTGCTGATTCATGCATGTGAACTGATTCAGTGTAGCCTCTTCTGATGCGTGCAGAGCATTTTTTTGTGTGCATTTAGTCATATTTACTTATTATTTTCTCTCCAATACTCCCAGCTCCTAGCATGTGCTTTTCCAGCTGCTTTACCTGTGATTTGTGTAAACTGAGTGGCTTATGCATTGTACTGTGTTAAAGTACATGAAAGAGATTTTAGCTGCATTTAGTGCAGTTTTTTTAAGAGCTGAATTGTTGCATGTGAGGGAGGGGCGGTCGTTTGTGAAATGTGTGGCTTAGTTTAGAAGTGGAAGAATCTCACAAAACCATGACCTGGTCACAAATTTAAAGCCCTAAAATCAAAGGAAAAAAACAAAACAAAACAAATAAATTATATTTCATGTAGGGATGCTCTCATATTAAAATTCTGTCAGATAAGCCAATATTTATTTTGATGATATGGCCAGTAATTTATTAAATGGACAAAAAGACAAGTAAAATAAAAACATACAAAATAATTAAAATGATTAAGATCATCTAAATATTACTTTTTAAAGTGTTATTAAATTAGTAGTGTTGGTATTAACTTAATTAACTGCACTTTAATGCAGTAATTCTTTTGAAAGAATTGAAACTAACCATTTTCTATTTCAGTATATTTTAAAATGCAATTTATTTTATTTTGCACCCCTATTTTTGCATTAAAAATCAACTTTAGGACCTTTTTTGCATTGTACCATAATAATTAATCCCACCTCCCAATTCTCATTATGCAATACATTTTACTTCTAAGCTTATTAGCAATTCACGATATTCTCAATATTGTAGATGTTCATTACTACAATAATACATTAATTTTGTTCTAATAATATGTCATTATTTTTAATTGCTTTTTATTCAAAACCGTTGGTGCAGTAATGAGAAAAGAGGAAAATGTGCTTAAGTGCAAAAAAGTTTTTTTTAAAGCTCCTAAAACAGCCTAGATTTTCTTAAAGCAAAATATAATTTATTGTTTCTTTCATTTGATTTTGGGGTGAAATGTGACCAGGATGTTTTCTTGATAGGTTTTATAAGATTTGCCCTCAAATGATCAAAGACGGTCAGATATGCATTTATGCACTAACCAAATAATCACTCATTTGAGACACTTGTATAATTCAATTAAACTTTGTGCAAATGCAACACAATTGTCTTTAAGCCACTTCTCATTAGCAGCAATCTGCTGGTCCAAGTTAATATGCGCATAAATCAAGTGCACTGAAATTAGATTGAGTCTGTCAGATATGTGAAAGGGCCGCACACTTCTGATGTCTGACTGACCCCTCCCATTGATGCCTGACACTAACCAATCAGTAATCAATGTTGTTTGATTGCAGAGGGAACATCCCCACTCTAAACAGGTATAGTACACATTCTTTCCTCCATAAAACAAAATCTAGACTTAGAATAGAAAAGCAACATGGTCAAACATATAAATTGTAAATAGTAGTCAGTATAATATGCAGTAATACTATATGAATATTCAGAGTATTCAAGTATAACCAATGTATAAAAGATGTATTTGAATTAATATTTTAAGACATAAACAACCTTGGATGAAATGCATTAGCGCCCTACTGAATGGATCTAATGATGATCAAAGCTTCTGAGTGCCTCTAAATATTTTGAATCAATCGAATGCAGATATTATGCGTGTAAGTTTGTGTTTTATTGAAAACAGCTCTTCCTTTGCACTTTATTCTGTTGATCTCAGTAAATACAAACTCATTTGCATGGCTTATTGCACCACTCTCAACACAAATGTGTGTGGGTCTGTCTGAAATTATATCATTGTGTGTGCGCATGCAAATGAAGACACTCCCGTAATATGTTAAGTGAAGTGAAATTGTTTAGACCTCATACTGGTTTTGAATTAGCTACATAATAGTGGCAATTAAATCTGCTGTTTGTATGTTTGTGTGATGTGATTGTCCTCCCAGGAAACTGTCTGCCCCACTTCAGGACTACAAACTTCCAGATATCACAGCTAACGCTAGTGCTGCCACAGGGGCAGCTAGTGAGTCTGCTGAGAATGAGGACAGGTAGAGCAGGACAGACTACAGGGTTTAATCACAGAGAGGGTTTAATCAGTCAAGAATAATCTATGCAGTTTTCTTAATGATAACTGGGTATTAGGGATGTTCATTTCGGTTATTTTTCCTAACCGACAACCGATGCTCGTTAACCGACAAGATTATTTTAATTTAGGATTGAATTAAATTAGAAAGGATAAGTGTCCGTGACCCATTAAAAAGAACATTTGTTTCCCGGGGATTAATTTTACATGCGCAAAAAAGCAGCAAACAACAGAACATGAGGATTTACATGGTCATATCACATCACGCACCTGCAGCGCTTCTGCGAGCGGAGAAAAACATAATAAAGCTATGCTATATAGCAATATATATATATAATGTATATAAAACGAATAAATAGGCCTATATGAGAATGTTTTTACTTAAATTATAAATTAAGAAAATGAAAGAAAAACAAGTAGCCTAGTATGCAGAGTTTCGGTTCATTTTTGTGCTGCGCGAAAGAAAAGACTGCAGAAAGCGGCATCCTATTTTCCTTTAGGCTTATTTTACAAAAGCACAAAGATTTGTTTTTATTGTGAATGTACACAGATAAAGGCAAACCTTTTACAATTCCGATTATCTTTAGGACTAAAAGGAGTAGTTGCTTCCACTGTTAGAAGGAAAAAAATTCAAGTGATTGCGCCGGCGCCGCATGCGTGCACAGTTAAGCATTGCTACCTTGACAATGCAGCCTGTTTATTATCATAATAAAATACAGTCAGTCAAACATATGGAGAAAAAAAATATGTAGTAAAATCTGTTAAGCCGTTAAGGTTAAGTGTTATCACTGTACCGCCGTGATGTTATACAAAACATTTTGTTTTACGTGGATATTGGAACGCGAGTGAAGTACATAATAAAAAATAATTTGCCATTCAAATACATTGCGAATACAGAAACGTTTAATTTTGTGTGGAATGAGAGACCCAACGTTGGTTTCAGTTTCGTTTTAGCCTAAATGAATTCGTTTTTGCTTGTCGTTTATATTGCTATAGCTTCTTATATTTTTAATTCTTGTTCTCTTCTAAATACTGTTAATTGACAGGATTTGTTGTGGAGTGAGGAGAACTAAAATAGCCTAGCTATGTTTACGGTGTTTATTATAATGTTTGTAAACATTTTGCATCGGCATTAGGCCTATTTCTGAATGAAATAATAAAATGCGATTTATACGCGACTTAGCCTGTTTTTTTCCCCCTAAAAAACATTTTTTTTTACGCGTAGCGTATTTTAACCATGCAGCAAACCGTTTTAAATATTTTGATAAATTACTGAAAAAATAAATAATTAAATTGCTTTTTAAACCGTTTAACTGATTGTATTAATCGGTCAAAATTCTTACCGTCGGTTAAACGGTTAAAATGAACATCCCTACTGGGTATGAATCTTTTAATTAGTCTTAATGGGCAAGAGATTGCTGTCAAATACTAACATTGAACAGGATACTTGGCACCTTCTGGAATTTTGACCATTTCTGATAGATGTGCGGATTAAGCTTTATAATTAAAGGTGTTATTAAAGGAATATTCTGGGTTAAATATAACTTAAAATCAATAGCCCTTACATGGACTCCACTGGAAATAATTTTGAATTCCAGTCCCTCAGTTTGTAAAATCAGGAAAAATGCATTAATAATAATGCACTTGCAATAAAGTGTACCAGAAATAAAGTCAAACCCTGGGTCGCCAGGATGATTTAAGGAAAACGTGTAGGCTATATGTACATAACAAAGTTCAAGACTCAGGGAAGAAGGAAGCGGGAACTGGCAAAGCGATAGAGGCTATTTACTCTTAGTGCAAATAGCATATTTTCTTAGCGATAGATGCTATTTACGCTAAGTGAAAATAGCAGTATTTTTTTGTGATATCATATGCTATTTACACTAAGTGCAAATAGCTATACATTATATTAATACTATGTTAAAATAGGATATTCTGCTAATTACTTATTGCAAATAGTGGCAATTATCTGCACCTCAGCATTGTAATACATTATAAAACCATATACAATAATAACTTGTGTAAATTTTAATTATAATTCAAATTATTAAATGGATACCACCTTACTGGGACAAAAGCCCTCCTTACACTTACCCTAACCCTACACGATACTTTATTTTTAACTTTTTGATTATTTCCTTCATTTTTATAAAAAATAAATGCTTTCTGATGTGATTTGAAAAGGGAGAAAAAAAGTTAGCCAAAAGGCAGATTCAAACCCGGGTAGATCGCGTCAAAAGGAGTAGCCTATGACACATGCTTTACCATCTACGCCACTGAATCTGATGATTGATGACTGTCTTTTGTAATGTTGACTAGCCCAATCACACGTTGGTGGGTGGAGTTAGTGTAAATAGCCTCTGCCAACAAAGCAGTCTATTTGCACTTAGTGTAAATAGACACTCCGATTTTATTTTTATTTTTTTATTCCCAACAGTTAAACAGTTGCCCACAGAAAAAAACACTTCCCGCGCCTATGAGTGTAGTTTTAGTTCTGGCAGGCCACGTTTACCACGTCTACCTATAGGAATACAAAGCCTATCACAGTATCCATATATAAGGTCCTTTAGTATTATTAGCAGCTATCGCATTGCTCAATAACTAATTAGCCTTCTCCATCCCCAGCTCCTCCTCTCATCCAGTCAGGATTCAGGCTTCTGATTCTCCTTTAAATCAAACTAATTCAAAAGTGTGTACATTAAATTATTGAACATTAATGATATCTTCAATACATTTATGTTGGTTCTGTTCTGTTTACCCCAGGGGGCCGGGAATGGGGGGTTATCACTGCTCTCATCCATGCTAGGCTGCATGGATGCACAGGGAGTTCTTGCCCAGAACAGAACCATACTGCCAATCCAAACTGTATGCTAATTGTCAATCATCTTTGATGATAGTGGTTTTGACAGAAATATTATTTCCTATGACTTATTCATTTGCAGCCACAACTTATTATTTTGTTCCCTCATCTTAGGTAAATCATGTTGTTACTAGTTTATTCCCTTTTAATTTAGTTCAATTGTGTGCATGGCTCCATCGTTAAAAAGTAGTCCTGTCAATAAAATAAAATCATCAGTTAATTTCACTATTTCTGATTTTAGAAAGCAGAATGAAATTGTAATCAAATGTTACATCTAAAACTTAGGTTTTGTTAAACATTTTTCATTAATATCTTAACTTTGAGAAGACAAAATTTTTTCACAGACCCGTTTAAGAACCAACATGCCCAATAGACTTCCAGTGTAAATGTGTCATGATGAACCCATTTCTTTTGTTTCTACAAATCGAGGGTTGACCCAAAATTAGGGTGATGGTATGGTAAACAGCAGGCCGCAGCTAGATTGTTTAACCTGGAATATTCTTAACTAAACTGTACCTCCACCATGAATTTAAATAAATGAATGTAAATGCATGAATTCACCCATACAGTGAAGTTTCAGTCTTAACAATTTTTTCCTTTAATATCTGGTTTACTTGCCTCCTGACAACTGGCCCCTTTTATAACATTCAGATCCCCGTCCATGACTGTTGACAGGCACTGCCATATTAGCAGAGACCCCGCCCAGAGTGAGCCGCATGCAGTCCGCCATGTTTATCACAGACATAACCGTGTTTTTGTGATTTTTGCTTTTAACATAAACTTGTGTGTATTTGACAGTTTAAATGCAATAAGACATGAAAGAGAACTTAGTTTAGTACTCGCATGTCATGTGACAGCGCTTTCTGTGTGTGTGCTTCGGATGTGCGTTCAGAAAACTGTACATCAGATCCAAGGTATGAGCTGTAAAGGCACAGCCCTGTTCTGGAAAAGTGGGCGGGGAGCAGCAGCTCATTTACATTTAAAGAGACATGCTCGAAAACAGCGTGTTTCTGCTTTCGTTCAAAATAGACATTTTCAAAATGATATAATAAAATATCTGTGAGGTATTTTGAGCTGACACTTCACAGACACATTCTGGGGACACCTGAGACTTATACTACATCTTGTAAAAAGGGGCATAATAGGTGCCCTTTAATGTTTGATGCAATTATTTGGAACATTGTTGTTTTCTATGCATAGTTTATATTGTGTTTTTTTTGTCTTACTGCAGAGCATTCAAGATGAGCCGATTCATATCCTTAATGTGGCCATAAAGACAGACAGTGACATTGATGATGATGGGTTAGCAGCCATGTTCCACGAGTTTACTCACTCTAAGGTGAAACAGAGTTCTGTTCTCTATATGATGATTGTTTTTAACAAAAATGTTTAAATGTCAGTGTATTAATTGTTTACTTGCATCATTTTTACCACAGAAATCTCTGCTATTTGAGCACGGCATCCGAAGACTTACCTTTTTGGTTGCTCAGAAGGTATGCTTTCTAAATGACATTTTAACATTTTGACTCCTAGGTTTTGGAACAGAGCCATTATAAATGGTCTCTTAATTAAGTTACAGACTTAATTATAAGACTGTTCAGTCTTTCAAATGTACAAAACCTGTTCTGTAAATGTCCTGTAATAATGAATACCATATACTGTACCATTAATATTGGTCTGGTCTCCCTGATCGGTGTTGACATGTACAGAATGCAATGCTATTTCACGGTTAATGTTTAATGTCTTTGTTTCACAGAGAGAATTCCCCAAATTTTTCACTTTTCGAGCTCGAGGCAAGGTGAGTTATGTTTTACACAAGACTACCAGTGACAGGCACAAAAGACTATAACACTTTTAAATGCGAGTGTTCATTAAATCCATCAGCAGCTTTATGTTTAGGGGGGGAAATACAAAGGAAATGAGGAGAAGGGAAAAAAAGCTGTTATATTCCTCCATTTCTTGTCTTTGCTGTGCAAGTCACTCCATCATGATCAATGGCGTTTCTCTGGCTTCCTTCAGCCCTGATAGTTTGCTAAAATGGTTCCAGCAAAGCTCATTACATTAATGAACTTTTTAATTATTTGTCTCATTTGAGAGGGATGACATCCATTAGCAGCTGTGATTACCTACATTTACTAAATCCAGCCTGCTATTATAGCTCACAGGCACTTTCTGCTTCTGTAGACTCACTTTCTCTAAATTTAAAATGAGCAATTTCATTCCATTTTAAATTTTCTATTTTATTCAATCTTATTATTATAGTTATTAGTAAAATTTAGCCATTTCATGATCAAACTTTTTAGGGGTGCTCGATTATGGCAAAAATCTTAATCAATTATTAAATCAATTATTTTTGGTCAATATTGTAAACATGATTAGGACTAGACATAACACAAGAGTCATTTTCTTTTCCACATCAATTATATTTCTGTTGGATATAAGGTTACTATAATATCAAAATTTTAGATACCAGTGACATTCACAATTTTCGATAACAATTTCAATTTCACAGCAGAAACTAATACTTGGCTGTCTAATGTAAGTGGGGGGAAAATACCTTGTTTAGTTCATCATTCTAATTTTGCATTTCTGCTATACAAGCAGCTACAAATGGAATTGTGAAAGATAATGGGTCTCTTCACTAATGATTTTTGTGGATTATTCATATTTATATCAACAGGAGAATTTCTTACAAAAATATTTGTATGATATTAAAATTTTCCTAACTTGTACCTTTCCTCTACCTTTTTATGAAAGTAGAACATTTTATACAAAATGTATTGATGAATTGTGATATGAAAATCATTTGTACACAGATTTCGCACACACATTTGTCTTGGTTAGTGAAAATAAATAATATAATATAATTAGGGCTGTCAGTTTAACGCATTAACTTAATTAATTAGTTATGAAAGAATAACGTGATTAAAATATTTTAACACCTTAATGTTAATGCACTGGCCCTTGAAATTTTGCTTGAAATTTTATGTTGAATCAAATAAAATATTTCTTTCTATAGCTACTATGTGTAATGTCTACTTTATACTTTCTCATTTCACACAAAAATAGCTTTAATCTTTTGTGGGTATTTTCAGTCAAATTTATTTTGTGATTAATTAGGTCAATTATTCGGCACATCATTTAATTAATTTGATTAAAATTTGTAATCGACTGACAGACCTAAATATAATATAATATAAATATTTTTTAGAACTTTTTTTAGAACCACTTTCGACCAAGTTCAGTTTTATAGTCGTTTAATTTTGTCTTACAAAGAAGTTTTTGTCAATTTTGTCAATCCTTTTTTTCTAGTTTGAGGAGGACCGTATCTACAGGCACTTGGAACCTGCCTTGGCTTTCCAGCTGGAGCTCAACCGCATGCGAAACTTTGCACTGACGGCCATCCCCTGTGCCAACCATAAGATGCACCTGTACTTGGGAGCTGCCCGCGTGGAAGTGGGCACTGAGGTCACAGATTACCGCTTCTTTGTGCGGGCCATCATCCGCCACTCGGACTTGGTCACCAAGGTAGGAGCATCTCTGTGGTCTATGTTTGCATCCATAAACTTGGTTATATGTGACACTGTATGGTTCCCCACCATGTAGGAAGCGTCATTTGAGTACCTGCACAACGAGGCAGAACGTTTGCTGCTGGAGGCCATGGATGAGTTGGAAGTGGCCTTCAACCACACCACAGTGCGCACTGACTGCAATCACATCTTCCTAAATTTTGTCCCAACCGTCATCATGGACCCTTCTAAGGTTTTAATGAGTTTCAGTGGATTTTGTTTCAGGAAGGTACTTATCTGCATGCGTTTTGAGCTCTTGTGTTCTCATTAGATTGAGGAATCTGTGCGCTCCATGGTCATGCGCTACGGGAGTCGCCTCTGGAAGCTCCGTGTGCTCCAAGCCGAGCTGAAGATTAACATCCGACTGACACCCACTGGCAAACAGATCCCCATCCGCCTCTTCCTGACCAATGAGAGTGGCTACTACCTGGACATCAGCCTGTACAAGGAGGTCACAGACTCCCGTACAGGACAGGTGGGGAACAAAGACAGACAGGTGGGGCTCACGTGTCTCTCATTAACACAAACACATTTTATGCAGACAGCTAAAACTGAACAACAGTACTATGCCTTTGTCATCCCTCATTGTTTGTTAATAATATGTGTTAATTTTCTGTCAGTAGCAAACACACAATCAGTGAAAAGTTTGGACACGCATTCTTTACATTTGTTTAATATAACTCTAAAAAATTTTGAAAATTAGTGAAGTCAAAGCTAGGAAATAATACAAATGACCAAAAAAATCTTATACTTTTTCTTATATTTTATCTTTTTCAAATTCGACACCCTTTCATGCATATATTTGTCTAATATATAAAATATGTGAAAATATGTATGTAATATGTAAAATATATAAATATGTCAAAAATATACACAGTGTATATATATGCTTTCAGTCATTTAATAGATCAAAAATATTTAAAATACATTTCTGTTCAAAAATGTTTTTGTTTGTTTTTGAAAGAAGTATTTATTTAATCAAACATATATGAAAACAGTAATATTGTGAAACATTTTTACAAATTAAAATTAATTATTAAATTAATTGCCGTTTTAAAATTAATTTGTGCTCAAGAACCATCAATTCTGCAGTATTTTTCGGAAAACTGCAATCCATTGTTTTTCAGATTTCTTTGATGTATAGAATGTTAAGAAGGACAGTATTAACTTTGAATCAGTTCATTTCTTTAAAAAAACCTACTAACCCCAATATTTTGAATGGTATTGTATATATTTATGCTATTACTAATAATGATTAATAAGCGGCATTATTTTGGTATTTGTTATTTATATGTATCATGATAAAAATGAATATAGTCACATGTGTCCAAACATATAAATGGCACTGCACAATTTGTTGTTTCACTAATATTCTTTCAGACACTGGCGTTGGGTGATTTGTCATTGTGCTAGTCACCATTTAGTTTCATTTGTCAGTGATGTGGTGACTTTTTCTGTTTGAATGTAAAAAAATGCTGTTCAATTAATCATTTAAAAAAAAAAATTCAAAATGATCTTTTGTCATTGTAACATCAACTGTCAGTTTTGTTTCTTCGTATCATTGGCCAACTGTTATCTGTTTGCTTAGACATGGGGAAAAGTATCGATTTATATATAGTTGTTTGTGTTTCTTTACCTATGCTTGACTTGCTGACTCTCTTTTGCCCTCTGTCTCTCTCTCATATCAGATCATGTTCCAGGCATATGGAGATAAGCAGGGTCCTCTTCATGGCATGCTCATCAACACACCCTATGTCACTAAAGACCTCCTGCAGTCCAAACGCTTCCAGGCCCAGAGCCTCGGTACCACCTATGTCTATGACTTCCCAGAGATGTTCCGTCAGGTATTGTCCACAACCTGACACAGTAGTCTGTGATGGCAAATCTTTTCACATTTCAAGATATAATTGCATTTCAATGTATATTAACATTTAAATGTTGAAGGTCAGTATGATTTTTTTTTTAAAGAAATGAATACTTTTATTCAGCAAGGTTGCATTAAATTGATCAAAAGTGACAAGACATTTTTAATGTAAAGGCATTTATGTTCTATGTTCTTGAACGTTCTATTCATCCATTCATATTCATCATGGTTTTCCAGAAAAATATTAAGAAACACAACTGTTTTCAAGATTGATAATGATAAAAAATGTTACTTGAATGATTATCATTTCATCATCATAGAATGATTTGTGAAGGATCATGTGACACTGGAGGAACAGCTAGTCAAAATGTCACAGGAAAAACTACATTTTAAAATCTTGTAAAATGGGAAAACTATTCTTAAAGTTGTAATGATATTTCATAAAATTACTGTATTTTTGATCAATTAAATGCAGTGATGGTGAGCATAAGAGACTTTTCGAAAAACGTAAAAATCGTACTGACCCCAAACTTTTGAACAGTAGTGTATATTTTAATACACAAAGTTGATTATCAAGTCTTTGTTTATCCATTTTTTAAACAAGAGCACTGGAAATATATGAAGATAAACATTTCTCATGTGGTGTCCATTTTCCTCTAGGCTCTGAAGAAGCTATGGCAGTCCATGGACGCACACGCCAACTTACCCAAGTGTCCTCTTCCATCGGAATTGCTGACCTTCACAGAGCTGGTTCTGGATTCTCAGGGTCAGCTAGTGCAGATGAACCGCCTACCTGGAGGAAATGAGGTTAGATTGCACCATGTTAATGATATTGGCTAAAACGTATTTGTAAAAATGTATCATCTTAAACTGAACTGAACTGAATCAACAATGAACTGATTTCAACTGAAAAATGACTAATGCCTTTTTAGAGTTCAATTCAATTCTGAGAATTCAATTTTGTTTGCATCATTGAATCATTATTTTATTGTTGAGCACTGTAAAGCTGCTTTAAAACAATCTGTATTGTATAAAGTGCTATAGTAATAAAGGAAGACTGTGTAACTCAAACTTAATGTGTGGCATTTCTTGCTCATTTTCAACAAATGATCACATGCAGTAAACTTTGTACACTGTAGGGGGCCCCTTTGCTTCTTAAATGTTGGTTTGTGAGGATCCACAAGCATTTATTTAGTTCTCACACCTTTATTGTGGATAGAAAATGAACTCATGATTCCATGATTCTCTAGATTGGCATGGTAGCATGGCGGATGACTCTCCGAACCCCTGAGTACCCGGCTGGCCGTGAGATTATTGTGATCAGCAATGACATCACACATAAGATTGGCTCCTTCGGGCCGCAGGAGGATGTGCTGTTCCAGCAGGCTTCAGAGATGGCGCGGGAAAGCGGCATCCCACGAATCTATATCGCTGCCAACAGCGGAGCCCGGATTGGCCTGGCAGAGGAGATCAGACACATGTTCCATGTGGCCTGGCAGGATCCAGCAGACCCCTACAAGGTTTGGAGTGGCTCCAGGGGAAGGGATCAGCGATCATTGATGTAGTGTTTATCTTCAGGAATTGTGTGGTAATCACAGTGTTTTCCTGTTAAATGGTAGGGCTTTCAGTACCTGTACCTCACACCTCAGGACTATAAGAAGGTGTCTGCTCTGAACTCAGTCCACTGTGAACATGTGGAAGACGAGGGTGAATCAAGGTGAGCTGCATATTATCCCATACACAAATTTTTTTTATTGTTAATGCTTTTATGTCTAACATAAGAATTGTCTTTGCTGCATAATTTCAGTGAATAGTTGGACTGGGAGGAGGTTTTGAGTTCTGAAGGTTCACATTGTACATTGAACATTTATTTCAAAAGATTGCCAGGATTTTTTTTTCCTGTCATTGATTAGGGTCATTTTTTGTTGTTCTATTGTAATATAAATTCTCCTTTTAATGTGTGTCTTTGCAGGTATAAGATCACTGATATCATTGGTAAAGAGGAGGGGTTGGGTGTGGAGAACTTGAGAGGTTCTGGCATGATCGCGGGTGAATCTTCACTGGCATATGAGGATATCATCACCATGAACCTGGTACGCTAGCAGAACACAAACACTTGTTAAAAACTGTGACTTGTTAAAAACATTTGGAGAAGTTCCACTATTCACAAATGCTCATAAGCAATACATTTGGTAAAGCATTACCTAGGATAAGATTAAGGTCTGCAAGATTTTATTTTATTTTTTTTAAGAAATTTATATTTTTTTCCTGCAAGGTAGCATTAAATTGATCGAAAGTGACAGTAAGGCATTTACAATGTTACAAAATATTTGTATTTTAAATAAATGCTGTTAATTGATCAAAAGAATCCTAAAAAAAAATTTACCACAAGGTATCAACTGTTTTCAACATTCTTAATATTAAGAAATGTTTCTTGAGCACCAAAATCGGCATATCTGAATGATTTCTAAAGCATCGTGTGACAGTAATTGCTGCTGAAAATTCAGCTTTGGCATCACAGAAATAAATTACTTTTTAAAATATTAAAGTATTAGTTGTTTTAAATTGTAATAATATTTCACAATATTACTGTTTTTACTGTATTTTTGACCAAATAAATGCAGCCGTGGTGAGCATAATAGACTTCTTTAAAACAATAAATAAATATAATCTTACCCAAACTTTTGTGCAGTAGTTTAGATGTTATAGTGTTTCTGAATGTCTGTGTTTTCTGGTCCTCAGGTAACATGCAGAGCCATTGGAATCGGAGCATATCTGGTGAGACTGGGCCAAAGAACCATACAGGTGGAGAACTCTCACATCATCCTGACTGGAGCTGGAGCTCTCAATAAGGTCAGCAGCTGCACCCATTTACATGTTTTCTAGTTTTAGAATCCATAAGCTAACTGTGCCTTCTCAAAGCAGTTTTATAATTCGCCTAGTATGATTTGTATGTTTTCAAAGGTCTTCTCTGTTGTTTTAGTTGCTGCTATGAAAGGTGGCATGTGTGCATAAATTACCTATTCACTCTGCTGAATAGGGCATTTTAATTGGCCTCTTTTAATTGCTTGAAGTAATTTGATTGGTCCGAGGCAATTGTGACAGGTTAGTGTGAACTCCAAAAGCCTTGTGTGCACTCAGCTATGACCCAAGTAAATTAATCCCTAATTCATGCAATTACCACGACTGCTTTACAATATGACTTTTATGAATCAACCAGTTTTTTATTTTACTGGTGACAGCGGTTGGCTGTGCATTCAAGCATGTGTTAAAGGAACAGCTCACCCAAAAATGTAAATTCTTTCATCATTTATTCACCCCTCATATCATTCCAAACACATATGACTTTATTTCATAAAAAAAACAAAAAGACAAAATTTGGTAGCACTTTTTACAGTCCTGTTCCACGTGTCCATACTATACTTATAAAGTAGAAATTACAATAACTGAGTAATAACTACATACTATGCATGAACCTACCCCTAAACCTAAACCATGTAGTTACCTTACACTACCCGGTACTTTCTTGGGTAATTACACTATAAGTACACATGCTGTACAATAATGTATAACAAAAAATTTGTATGTGCAAAGTTTTTCCAGGCAATTACTATGTAATTTTTAAGCAGTTGGGATCTTGTTATTTTCAAGCTTAAAAAAGGAAGCAAAGGCACCACATGTGCTTTATTGGGAACAGAAATTAAATCAAAAATGATTTGCTACAAACTGAGGGACAGTATTAAAACTGATATCTCAGTATAAAGACAATAGAAGTCAATGGAAAATTGTTTCTGTAGGTTTATAATTCACCCCTCTGTGACTGCCATCCCCCCGCGTCTCTCTCTCTCTGTCTCCCATCATGATGCTGCAGCTCCCGCAGGAATAATAGAAAGAGAAGCGTGAAGTTGTTATTTGCATAGAAATAGGCTGATGCCTGGGGCTGAGACCGGGGAGGGACACCCATATCATTCCTCTGAGAACAGAATGAGCACTTCTACTGCCACAGATATCCCTGTCTCGCTCTGCCTTTCTCCCATCACTCTCTGCAGCAGTCTAGATTAGGGTTGGGAACCGAGAAACAGTTCTTATTCAGAACAATTTCCTTTAATGGTTCTTAAATGTCCGGTGTGGACAGAAAAACGGTATTCAGATATTTCAGTCACGGCCAGTATCTGTGTCACGGCCAGTATCTGTTTGTCCTCTCTGGAACTGCAGGAACGCCCCATCTATCTCCATCTGAAAATGTTCTTTACAGTCCCATTACTGTGTTAATTAGAGCAGAACCGTGATCGGCTCATTTACAAATGCCCATGATAAGCATTACCGCACAGGTCTCAGAATACATCAGGTCTGTAAGTGATTATGACTGTAACAAAGGTGTCAGTCTCAGAGTTTAGAATGTTTTTTTTTTTTTGTGTGTGTGTGGATGGTCAAACCTGTGATTTGTATTACTGTGATATGGAAGAGTTCAGTCTTTCATTAACCACTGGAACAAAAGGGACATAACAGACACATAAACTGGAGCTAGAGTCAAGACCCAGACCAAAACTATATTCCCTGCAGCCCAGATACTCTACATACCAGAACTAGACCTCCTGCACCTCAGGTCCAAACCAAGACTGACCCTGACAAAAAAGTTAAAGTTTAAGTAGTTGATTCAAGGACCAGGCTGTTGATTTCAGTGAACTTACTGGCTAAAATGTCTATGTTGCCTTTCAGAGTCATGCATTTCTTGTACATTCTCTGAAATGGTTGAGGTAATTATCACTTGTGGTCAGTGGCGGAACTTTGCTTTGAAAAGTGGTGTGGACACCGCGCAACTCGTCTTGCTAGTTTTTTATTTAGTGTGTGTGTGTGTGGATGGTCAAACCTGTGATTTGTATTACTGTGATATGGAAGAGTTCAGTCTTTCATTAACCACTGGAACAAAAGGGACATACCAGACACATAAACTGGAGCTAGAGTCAAGACCCAGACCAAAACTATATTCCCTGCAGCCCAGATACTCTACATACCAGAACTAGACCTCCTGCACCTCAGGTCCAAACCAAGACTGACCCTGACAAAAAAGTTAAAGTTTAAGTAGTTGATTCAAGGACCAGGCTGTTGATTTCAGTGAACTTACTGGCTAAAATATCTATGTTGCCTTTCAGAGTCATGCATTTCTTGTACATTCTCTGAAATGGTTGAGGTAATTATCACTTGTGGTCAGTGGCGGAACTTTGCTTTGAAAAGTGGTGTGGACACCGCGCAACTCGTCTTGCTAGTTTTTTATTTAATAACCTAATTTACTTGGGGACTGGGTTTAGAGTTGAACAAACTTAATTTTTGCTTTTCAAAAATACATGTACCAGGGGTGGTGCCAGAGAATTTTGAACGCAGGTGCTGAGGGAGTGCTAGATCATTGACAGAGGGAGCTGGGCAATTCAGGGCTCCAGACTCATTCTTCCCACTGCTCGCTCTTTTGCGATTAACTTTCTCAGTTGGTTGCACGAGCAGGGTTTTTTTTTTGCGCTACAACATGCTGTTAATCAATGCACGCTGATGAACTTTTATCATAGTTTATAGTTATATGGAAACGAAAGTAGTTAACATTCAACCCGTTCTTGTGATTTGAATTTTGTGAACGGGAGTTCCTCTTTTGACATGTTATAAACCAGGCTTCGGATGCTTTCACTTTCGATTTCACGATCTTGTCAGGTTTTACAATAAAATATAATTGTCTGTTTTGCTTACATCTATAGACCTTTCACCTTTTAATACAAAAAAAAAGATGGATTCATTATTTTTAATTAAAATGCACAACAACAATAAAACAGTATTCAATGACAAACTAGCTTACAAAACGTTATTAACAAAAACGAATAAGATGAGGCATGGCATAGGTCTACACACTGTATTAGGCTATATAATGACTAATAAATTACAGAACGTTTAGCAAACACTGAGGAATCAAAAAAAGAGAGAGAGAGAGCCTCCATAGCATAAAGTATGGAAGCCCGTTTCTGCCACTGAAAAAAAAAAGGTAATTGTGACTTTTTATCTCACAATTCTTTTTTCCACAGAATTATGAGATATAAACTCGCAATTGCGAGATATAAAGTCAGAATTGCGAGATATAAAGTCGCAATTGCGAGATAAAAACTTGCAATTCTCACTTTTTTTCTCGCAATTGCGAGTTTATATCTCATAATTCTGACTTTTTTTCTCGCAATTCTCTCTGTTTTTCTCAGAATTGTGAGATTAACTCACCATTGCGAGTTTATAAGTCCAATTTTGAGGGGGAAAAAAGACTATGTTCTCAGAATTGCGAGTTTATATCTCACAATTCTGACAAAAAAAAGTCAGAATTGCGTGATATAAATTCGCAATTGCGAGAAAAAAAGTCTGAATTGAGAGTTTTTATGTCTCGCAATTGCGAGTTTATATCACGCAATTCTGACGCCCACTTGATTTTGTAATATTCTTTAATTTTGTAGTCGGTATGAAAAGGTGCATTTCTATTAAAGGCATGTCCATGTGGAGATGTCGAGTCAGCGTCGGCATTCGGCAACCTCATCTTTGCACCCGGCACTGACTCAGAAAGCACTAGTTTATTAATAAATAATTAAAATGTCTTCTTTTCCCCCGACACGTTCAGAATCACTTTGCCGGTGCTTTGAGGCAATTGCTTTATGTGCGAGCTTGAGCGCGGAATAGGCTCTAGCCTAATACGTCTGCCTATAGCCTATATTGAAGTATGGCGCTTATAAATTATATATTTAATCATTAATATATTATTATATTAATCAATTTAATATAACGTGCGACTAGTTGACTAGAAAAATCTTTAGTAGAGGGCAGGCCTATACTTAGCACAAGGAAGCGCTCCATTTTTAAAATAAAATGCTATAGCCTAATGACATTACGAAAAGTGCGACAGCTGCAAATCACATCGTTATTGCACTGCACGAGTTATGCATGCATAAGGAATACATTTTTTTATCACCCTAATTAGATTATGAAGAATGATTTATTGATCTTGTTTTCCCTTTAATACATAGCCTACCTTCCGCAATATATTTTTCAATTACTTTCAAAAAGTGGTAAGGACAATATCGACCCTGGCAAAAAGTGGTGGGGACATGTCCCACCCGAAAATTACACCTATGCTTGTGGTACAGACTGCAGTCTTAATGAGACCATAAACCGAGCTGTAGATGTAGACCAAGGTCTATCAAACTATGTTTAATTTGAAACAGTATGGTTTACATTGAAAAATTGGTCATATGAAAGCTGTCTTGCGGATTGGGGAGCACCCTGTGGAACAGAACCCCGAAACAATCTATAGGATGTGGTCTGAGTTTGGTTGCAAAGGAACTGTCTAAAACAAAAATACATTGGCTAACGTTATGTTCTCTATAATGCTAGCTTGTGATGATTGTTACGTCTTGTTACGAGGCTGTGCCCACGCACTCACTCACAACTCGTTCACTCCGGCAGTGTCTCGCAGCGATCATTTTCATACCACGGATGCTAAAAATTCTTGCAAACTGTCTTAACTGTATTATACATGTCACATGCAGACATTCATATGAGGAGTTTAACAGCAAATTAGTCATTCAGACAACAAGAGAAATTTACTGAGGTCTGGACCTCGGTGACCTCATAGCTGGCTACGGGCCTGTATCAAACGATATATCAGACAAAGCAATAGTGACCACATAATAAAAACGTTTGCCTCTCTCGCTATTTACACTATGTGTGAATCGGTGGATGGGGCTAATCAGGCAGTGATGTAGAAGCAGGCGTTGATCTTCTGCAGAGGCGGTTCATCCACATTATTACGTCATAAAGTGGCACATTCCACAACCTGTCGTTTTGGCAGATTTGCTTCAATATAAGCTGTTTTTAGACTAATGAGAAAGTTTTGAGTTCTGAAACTTACAAGATGTTTTTAAAGTACAAAAGAAATTTGATTTCTCAGTTCATGACCCCTTTAACTAATGTACAGAACATTTCACAGACAAAACGCTGCAACCAAAGCTTAATATGTTCTTAAAGGATTAGTTCACCCAAAAATTTTAATTAGCCCATAAATTACTCACCCTCAAGGCATCCTAGGTGTATATGACTTTCTTCTTTTAGACTAATCTAGACGGAGTTATATTAAAAATGGTATTTGATCTTTCAAGCTGTTTAATGGCAGTCAGCAGGTGTTGCAGTGCATCAGTCCAAAAGAAGTGAAATAAAAAGTGCCCATCAATAATTAAAAGTGTCTCACATGGCTCTGGGGGCTGAACAAAGGCCTTCTGTAGCGAATCGATGTGTTTTTGTAAGAAAAATAACCATATTTAAAACATAATAATCAATTTAATCTAGCTATCAGATATTTAATGTGATGTATCTCACAAATGTACTTTATGCAATCCTGCAGCAAGTTTTTCTTCAGAAGTACTCAGTGTTGCAGCTTTGCGACTTGTGAACAAGACTTTTTAATTCACGCCTTTGCTCTTTCTTCACAGGTTCTGGGTCGCGAGGTGTACACCTCCAATAACCAGCTGGGTGGAGTACAGATCATGCACAATAATGGAGTCACACACACCACTGTGTGCGATGATTTTGAGGGAGTGTTTACGTTACTGCTCTGGCTGTCTTACATGCCGAAGGTATGCAGAACACACTGTGAAATGTGACCCGGAGAATGTGATTTCGAGTCTTAACAGTGCTGTTCTCCTTCAGAATAAGTCGAGTCCTGTGCCAATACTCAGTGCTAAAGATCCCATTGATCGGCCAGTGGAGTTTGTTCCTACAAAGGCACCTTATGACCCACGCTGGATATTAGCGGGACGTCCCAGTCAGAGTGAGTAGATGCTGCAACCTTAGACCTCATTACTCTATTGATAGCATCTGTCGCATGATTTTTATCGTGGACCCTCTTATTGGACTTCCTTTGTAAGAGCCTTTCTGAAGTAATAATTCTTTCTGTAATAACAAAAAAACAAGGGAGGAAGAAAAAAAAATCTGTATCAATGACATTATGCTGTCAAAACAGCTCAACTTGTCAATTTGTTGAGGCCTCCTGCAGTGATGTTTTGTGTTTTGTTTATCAGTTGTGCTGAGGAATGTGTTGTTAGATGGAAGTGTCCAGTAATGGATGAGTGTGGTCTGAGGGTTTATGTTTGAGGCACAGCACTAGGTCTCTCCACTCAGAGATAAGACACTCTGGGATATATGGAGTGTTTTTTTATTGGCGAGACAGATTACACATCACTGTAATTGCCACAGTGAGGTGGAGAGATATTGAGAGCTGGTGGCAGGGAGAAAAATCTTTGTCTCAGTGCAGAGACAGGTCTCAGTGTAATTGAATGGTAACCTCTTCCTGCAGCAAGCATGTACTTCACCTCAGTTAAGCTTGGCATATATCTGATAAAGATGCAGCTCTGATGGTCTCTCTCCTTCCATACAGACACTAAGGGTGCGTGGGTGAGCGGGTTCTTTGACCACGGCTCTTTTCTGGAGATCATGCAGCCGTGGGCACAGAGTGTAATCGTAGGACGGGCCAGGTAAGCACCAATGAATACTTTGGCCCCAAAAAGTATTTGGACTCTTAGGCAAGTTCTAAAACTTCATGAATGTCATTGTAGATGCCACTTGGTCTGATGTCTTATCTAAAACAAACAAATTACTCCCTAAAACAAGCAACAGTTGGAAATGGCTGCATTACAGGCTTGGAAAAGCATTTCAAAAGATAAGACCAAGAGTCTGGTGATGTCTATGGGTCGCAGACTTAGATTTAACATGTTTAAGAATGCTGTGATAATTTTTCTTATATCCCTCAACCCAGTTCCAGCTGTACAGCTGTAAATATCATAACTGAGTCAGTATGATGACATATATCCCTTTAACTCAATAATAAAATTTGTAACATTCATTTATTCATTTTATTTATTTTTTTTTGAGCGTTTGTTTAATCTGTCCCTGTGTAACAAACATTCTGACTTGTCATTTGTAGGTTGGGCGGGATCCCGACTGGAGTAGTTGCAGTAGAAACCCGATCAGTGGAGCTTTCTATCCCAGCAGACCCAGCGAATTTGGACTCCGAAGCCAAGGTGACCACTTGGAAACACTTACACACTCTGCCACTTGATTTCTTTCAGGAAGATGACCAATTTTCTGTACTTTTTCTGGTAGATCATCCAACAAGCAGGGCAAGTGTGGTTCCCTGACTCTGCTTTTAAGACCGCACAGGCCATTAAAGACTTCAACAGGGAGGGGCTTCCACTCATGGTGTTTGCCAACTGGAGAGGCTTCTCTGGAGGGATGAAAGGTCATGAAAGGAAATTAAGTAGGATGCACTTTAGTGAGCTATGATGATCTCTGCTAACACCTTATGCTCTCCTGTCTTCAGACATGTATGACCAGGTGCTGAAGTTTGGAGCGTATATAGTGGACGGGCTGAGAGAATACAGACAGCCAGTGCTGGTGTACATCCCTCCACAAGCAGAGCTCAGGGGAGGATCATGGGTCGTCATAGACCCCACCATCAACCCTCGCCACATGGAGATGTATGCAGATAAGGACAGCCGGTAAGAACCAGTTTTGTTTTTTATTTTTTCGCTTTGGTTTGGGTTGTTTTGTTTTATTTGGCTTTTGTTTTTGTTTGTTTCGTTTTTTTTGTTTGTCATTGTGCATTGGATCTTGTTTTGTAATGTTATGTAAATGTAACTGTGTATTAACACTGCATTGGGTGTTTATTTTTGGTATGTTTGTTTTGTTTGGTTGTTTTTGGTTTTGGTTTTGGTGTTATTTGGTTTGGTTGTGCTTTGTTTTGTATATTTTGTTTGTTTTATTTGTTTTGTTATTGTATTTATCATTGTGCATTTTTTATTTTACGTAACAGTGTAGTAACACTACATTAAAACAGAAAATAAATAAATAAAACACCAAAAAATGTTATAAATAAAAAAAAATGAAGTGGTCAGACCTTTCAAGCAAGTCATTTTGAGTAATGATGGAAGAAAATCATTGAATTTGTTTCAAACAAATTCATTGTAATAACCTACTTGAATAAATTGATTGATCAGTGTGTGCGTTCTGCAGTGGTGGCGTGCTGGAGCCTGAAGGCACGGTGGAGATCAAGTTCCGTAAAAAAGACCTGGTGAAGACCATGAGACGGGTGGACCCTGTATACATGGGGCTTGCAGAAAGACTGGGTAAGTTTCTCACAATGCTGTCTCTCCCTTGAAATCTTGTTTTATTGGGCGTGTATAAGTGTTATATTAAAGGACCTCATCTCTGTGCTCTGCTGATTGTGTCGACCCTTTCTCTCCTCCCTGAGGAGACGTGCCAATCACAGGGGTCTCAGATCAATCAGACGCCATTGCTGTTCTGTACCTCCTTCGATCGATTACACCCTCAGCAGTCACTAAAATGGACCGTGCCACCAGAGTGGCCTGTAGTGTTGCAGGCGGCCACTCTGAATGATTGGCTCTGATGGGATAAATCTCTTTCGAACAGCCACGGGCTGATGTGAGATCCTGGAGAGCTCCTCGGTTGGCGGCACTCTAGTGGTGTGATTCTAGCTGATTTTCATGTACAGAATGAGGGACCTGTTGGTGGATGCCAAAATTAGCAGAATTGTGTTCATTAGCTTTAGCCAGCATGAAATCAAAATTGACACTTTTTTTTTTTTATGCACGTTTCTTTTACACTGTTTACCAGTAGGTGTAATTCTAAATTGTTCATCAAAATGAAATAACATCAGTGTTGTTTATACATTATTATAGTATGTTTATATTTTGAATAGCTTTTTTTATATATATATACTTTTTCGTTTTAAGTTTAAGTATTTTTGTAATTATTATTGAATGCAGGACATTTAATTTTCATTCAGATGTAAGTTTATAAACATTTTATCTAATATTTATATTTTATTTCAGTTAATTAAAATAATATTAATAGTTTTATTTTTAGTTAATAACTGCACTGTTTGCTTGACTTTTCTTTTTGTTAATGCTACCTCATCCAAAAATATAGCAATTAACATTAAAAAAGCTGTTCAGTTATTGTTTTAGGTAATGCAGCTTTTCTAAAACCTAGTCAAAAACAAATCCATTATCATAATTAATTATTAATATTAATAAAAACAACAACAGCAAGAAATTAATTATTTAACGAAACAGTAATTTAATGCGTTAATTTAATGAATTAATGTAAGCCACAGTGAAATAGCTAAATGTCAGCTGATGAATTAGCCTGATTTATATACTGGCCTGTTTCTAAGTTACTTTTTTGGTACATTCCTCATAAATTTTTTTATTTTTGCATTTGTCCATCCTCTGTGTTTGTGTGTGTTTTCAGGCACCCCAGAATTGAGTGTGTCTGAGCGTAAAGAGCTGGAGAGTAAACTGAAAGAGAGAGAAGAGTTCCTGCTGCCAATATATCATCAAGTAGCCGTGCAGTTTGCCGACCTTCATGACACACCGGGCCGCATGCAGGAGAAAGGAGTCATCACTGTCAGTACTCAACTCTTATAGTAGCATTAGTATGCTCTGCTTTTACCCGCAGTTTTTGTTTTTAGATGGTACTTTTGTATTCATATTTCTCCATAGTTGAAGAATCAGAAGCTCAAATGAAAAGATGTGAATCCGTGAACTATGCCATAAATGAATCTGGACTTGTGTGTGTTCAGGATGTCCTGGAGTGGCGGACATCTCGACTGTTCTTCTATTGGCGCTTGCGGCGGTTACTGCTGGAGGACACGGTTCAGAGGAAGATCCAGTGTGCCAATAGTGAGCTGACAGACGGGCAGGTTCAGGCCATGCTCCGCCGCTGGTTCGTGGAAGCAGAGGGAGCTGTGAAAGTACGTTACCAAAAACTATTGCATAAAAAATCTCTTTTCTCCAGATCACCAATAAAAGTCTTTTACAAATATGACAGTACAAGTGAGTATACATTTGTGTGTGTGTATATGTATGTATGTATGTATATATATATATATATCGAGTGCTTGCGGTGTTCGGCCAATCACAATGCACTGGGTCAGCTGGCCAATCAGAGCAGACTGCGCTTGTCGGAAGGAGGGACTTTGTAGAAAACGAAGCGTTTGAGAGAGGCGGGGCATAGAGGACCTACAATAATGTACAGTATTTGAAAAATAATGTGTTTTTTGAACATTAAAGCATGTCAACATATTCTGTTACACCAAATACACAAAATAATGATCTTTAAAAAAGCATCATATGACCCCTTTAAATGAGAGAAAATTGGATGATCGTCAGATACACGTCATGTGCATCAGGTTTTAAAGAGACAGCACTGCTTTTAAAGTGAAACCTGCTACAGTCTGTCATTGATGTAAATCAAGGAACAAATAAAAAAATCAATCACTGCTCTGCTTGCTAAATAACTTTTATAGCTTGAATAAAGATTCATCTATATTAAATTTATAGTTTATGCATATACGATTAACAGTTTATGTGAAGATTGTTTTAAGTTCACTTAAATTAAGTTATATTTTTCAATGCCTATCAAATGTAAAAAAAGAAATGGCTGTAAATTATACTGTAATGTTGAATGGCTATAATCAATGGCTAAAATTGAAGGAAACATGCATTTAATAGATATCAGTAGCAGTATTGATATCAATTCATTAATAATAGGCTACTTGGTAAAAAGATGCCATTACATACATATTTAAAATATACCATCTTTGTTGTTTCTACATTTTGTAGATTCAGTGTGAAATTATGACAATTTTAATGTTATATTAATATGCAATTATTAATGATGAATTACAGAAAAATTTTCATTCTTTTTTTTTTCTTTCTGATTGACAGCACTAACTAGAGTGTGTGTGTGTGTGTGTTATAAACCATGAGGTTCTCAACCTTTTTGATAAGTCCCTCCATTGTCCACGACAATATTCAAAGGTCTGACACTCATAATTTCTGTCAATTAAAATTCAGGTTTTATAAGCTTAATGTTCTTTTAGAGTTCCCACTCTTTTTAATCATTTCCACTAATCTAAGGGATAATGTACAGTCAGCTTTCATTATCGCAAATTATTACACAGCTGCCTGAAATACTCGATTCTGATTAGTTATGCGACTGTGCATTATGCCTTAAATGTCTGACTTGTCTGAACTTCATCTAGGCTCAAAGCTGTTAGGAACTGTTTTTCTTTGCGGCAGCTTTGCGTTTTGAAGAGCTAATAAAATATTAAGGGTCTGTGAGATCTGATGTATTTTTAATCAATGCAAAAAGAATTGTTTTGTATAAGAAATTTTTACTGATTATTAAATAACTGCATTGAATTTTCAATATCAGATCAATGCGTTGCAATGCATTTGTACACCCCTATTTATTCATAAATGTATATTTTGTGTTTTTAATAAACTGTTTGTTTGTTTTCATTTCTTAGCCTGGTTCAAGCTAACCCTGAAGTGGCCATGGACTCTATTGTTCACATGACCCAGCACATTTCCCCCACGCAGCGTGCTGAGGTGGTCCGAATCCTGTCCACCATGGACGCCCCTGCGTCATCATAGAGCCCTGTTTACACACAATCATCTCAGAGGCATGATGTTACTGGAAACTGGAACTAGAGGAGCCAACATGGCGGTGCTGCGATGTTATGTGACATAGCATTGTTGGCTATGATTCTGAAAGTATGCTATAACAGAGATACTCCGTGTCAGTACCTACGAATGCACATCAATGAGCACCTTTAGAAACACTAAAGTAAAACGTTCTAGTGTTGTGTTTATAGTTTTGCAATCTAGTCAAGTGCACTTTGAGACTTAGATTGAACAGAGACCAATTGTAGAAACTAGCTTCCCAAAGCTGCTGTTAGAGGATGTTACACTTTTTTAGAAATGGTTTTTTGTTTGTTTAAAAGGCAGTAGATTAATGTATAAGAGAGAACTTTGCAACTTAAAAATCAACTTTACACTTTCTCCTACAACAGTCAGGTGATAACACGAGTCCACACTGAGAGTAAGCGATCTCACATCTAGATCACTCCTGTTTCAGGAGTGATGTAGCTGTATTTCGTTGCATCACTCACTGTGTAGACGTGGTATTATTCGTCACATGCATGACGGTCGATTGAGCCGTATGACCGCATCAGATTGTGACTACGCTTGTTTCATTCCCTTGTGACTTAACCAAAAAAATTATATATTTTTTTTAAATGTGTATCCACTGGTATTGTACTTATGACGTTTAATTTTTTTAGCATAGATAAAATGCTGAGAAGACATTAATAACTTATTAAACATGTCTAAGTGCCGCACACTGTAGTTCAACATGGTACACTGTAATGTAAATGTGTAACTGTAGAACGTGATTATTATTCCAACATATTCTGGAATGACAAGAGTGCAGTGCAGAAATATACTAAATGAAAGCATTGGAGGTGGCAGAGGATAATTAAGCAAAGTGAATGGAGTATTATGCACAATCTACACTGGCAGTCATGATGCTTTTTTTAGATCCACAATGTCTCATTGGCATCATGATGGTTGTCTCCACTACTGGAAAACAAGCTGCCACTCTAATGCTAGCACTAATATTTGATTCTATGAAAGGTGAAAATTGTGACATGCTGTCACGCAAACAGTTGGTGGACTGTCTCATGTGTCTATAAGTGTTGCTAAACATGTTACTGAAGAGATCAGAAGCTGTCTCCAGTCAAAATGGAGGATTTCCTGTTTACTGTGGCAAGCTGTGATTGCCTCTAAAAAATAACTAAATAAACTCAAATTCTGACGTTAAATTATTTGTACTTTTTGTGGCTCTTTCTTGAATGAATGTACCAGGTCATATAGAATACAAGATTTTTTAAATAATATGCTATACAAAAGAGCCAAGCACTGAACCTTGAGGTACCCCAGTGGTTAGTTTATGTGAGACTCCCCTCCTCTCTGAAATATGCGTGTATGTGTGTCGTCTCCTGGTCTGCTTAAAGATAAGTGTGCGTGCATTATATTTCAGCACAATTCATTGCTGTCACCTTCTTGAGTGCTTCATGTTTTTGTCCTCTACGTGCTCAAGTAGCACAGCACTGTGACCATGATCACCAGGCCAAGTCTATCCGTCACCTCCACCTCTTCATCAATCCATCCTCTCCTCTCTAAACCTGCATTTCTTTCCTTTACACCTCTCCAAACCTATAGTGCAGCATATGCTAGAACCCTTAAAACATCCTGAAAAATAATTACTGGGAGTGTGTGAGGAAAGCAAAACAATAGGAAGACTACAGAGGGAAGATCAGTGTATTCAAGTATTCATGTGTTTAAGGCTTGATTTTGTAAAACTGTTGTTTTGTGTTTTACAGATAGAATTTCCAGGTTTTATAAAAGGAAGTTCACAAAATTAAATTCTGTCATTTACTCTCTCCAATCATTCCAAATCTGTCTGATTGTCTTCCAAGGAACACAAAAGTAGCTATTTAGTGGAATGTTGAAGCTATTCATATAAAGTCAATACTGACAGCTCTCTAATGAATACCATGGTAATACTGTGTAACATAACCCAAAAAGTTTAAGAAAAAACATTTTGTTTTTATGTACATGTACCTTTACCACATGTTTTTAGAAATAAAATGTAAAATATATATTAGGTGAATGATATATTAAAAATCCCTCTTTGAAAACCTAAAACTTCTAAAAAAATTTTTTTGAGAAAATGTATGTTAAATATATCAGGGCTCGCAAAATTTCAAAATCGTTGGTAGCCCTTCAGGCAGACATTCTTCAGATTTTGGTAGCCCAAAATGAATTTAAGTAAAAAAAAAAGAAAAAAAAAAGACATCGGCTGAGCTTCACTGCGGACAAATCAGCATGATTAAAAACTTCAGTGATTGTTTTTTTTATTTTAAATAAGTTTTTTTGAGAAAATGTATGTTAAATATATCAGGGCTCGCAAAATTTCAAAATCGTTGGTAGCCCTTCAGGCAGACATTCTTCAGATTTTGGTAGCCCAAAATGAATTTAAGTAAAAAAAAAAGAAAAAAAAAAGACATCGGCTGAGCTTCACTGCGGACAAATCAGCATGATTAAAAACTTCAGTGATTGTTTTTTTTATTTTAAATAAGTCAAGAGAGCAGGGGTGCAACGAATCACAAAACCCAAGGCTCGGACCATATTGCATTATATCAGATCGGGTCATTTTGCAGATGAGCAAAAAATATATGCTTCTTTATTATTGAAATAACAGAATACTTATTTGATACCACAGCAAAAACTAGTAGCATATAGGGATGTAACGATTCACTCAACTCACGATGCGATGCGATACGATTCACGGTACTGATTTCACAATACAATTTTCTCACAATTTTTCTTTTTAACAAAATGAGATTTAGGACAAATTATAAATTAAAAGGTGAAAACCCTTTTATTATTTCTGCACATTTCTTTGTGAAATTGAAATATGTCAAATAATAAAACTAACTTGAAATTTTAAAACAAATCCCAAATCAAATAACTAAATAACAAATAAAATAAAATAAATCTCTTCACATAAACAAACTAATGCTTTGGCTGTGCTTTTTCCATTGAAAATAAGAGGCAACCACTGCATTTTAATCACGATCCAAACAAAGATGCTAAATACATGTTATTTAGATTGCAATTAGATTGTATAATTTCGAAATTTGAAGCAAAAACAGAATAGTTTGATTTTAGCTTTGTGAATGAGACGCAAATGTCACTCTCTGACAGCAGGTGGCGCTTATGGAACAGCAGGTATTTATAGGCTGCTGCCCCTTTAAGACCGAATGCACGGATACAATACAATGATGCACTTGAGATTTCTTTCTCCACTGTTTACGTTCACTTAAGACATAACCGACTGTGTTTACGAGAATACTTGCCGAGACAGTTATTTTGAGATAATTTTGTGTGTATGTGTTCATTCAGATGCAAGGATACGCGAAAGAGGAATCAATTCTGTGTACGCGCATTGTCTGAAAAGCGGCTCTCTGTGCACGCTTTGAATGAGTGTGCGCAGCTCCGAATGTGCGTGAATGGTTTAAAACACTTGAATGTTTAAATCGGCAAGACTTAGAAACACATGCAAACGATCAACTACGATCCGTTTTACCCCTACAAGCTAGTGAACGATGGAAATCAAGGAAGGGATTTTATATCACTGTTCAAGATAGCCCGTCGGGCAGGGTGGTGAAAATCTTTTTAGGTAGCCCGACTGGAAAACACAATAGCCCCGGGACGTCGGGCTAGCGATTTTGCGAGCCCTGTATATGTAACGTAACTCAAGTCTATGGAACCTAATACATATTGTAATAAATCGAACTCTTTTGGATGTTTTCTTTCCACTAGTTTCCATCCATCAAGTCACCTGAGCAGCAGTGGCTTATAGCACCGATCTCATCATGCGAAGTGAGTGACCGCGGTCGGTGGCAAGGTTCCATTCATGGAGGAGGGATAAGATGGAGCCATCCCCAATCTTTTGAACCCATGTTTGCCGAGGGCAACCAGGTGGTCTGCTCCAGCTGGTGGGAGCATATCTCTCAGAGCGTCGGGCAACGGCACAGGCTAGGGTACCATAAGCAGGAGTATGACTTGCAAGCCATGTGCCAACAAGCAATTATGTCTGTGATTGTTGGCAGACCAGTGCGTAGGTTGATGGCCACGTTTGTTATGAGGTCGGACCAACGAACATGCATGATTTATTTGAAACTGGCAGCGCATATGAAATGACTGTAGCCTTTTGGCATCTTGCAATTTAAGAGTCCAGGTCTCGGAACCATACAGAAGGAGTGGCAACACACAGGAGTAGTAGAACCGAATTTTGTGCCGAGTCCTCTGTTGACACCAAAGGTTCTGAAAAGACCTCATTGCTGAAGCAGCCAGACCAATTCGGCATGCGATATAGGCCATGCACCTTCCGAGCTTTGTACACTCCCCAGATACGTGAACTGTGTGACATTTTCCACCTTCTGACCCATGACAGAAATATTCCTGATATTGGATCCGCTGCCCAAGCTCTGCAATTTTTTTTTTTGCCATGATACATGTAGGCCCAGGTGGGAAGCCTCTCGCTCGAAATGCTCAAGAGATGTTATCAGTTTTGATGCAGATTCGTCTAGCAACGCGACATCATCTGCGTAGTCTAGGTCAGTGAAATCGTGTTCTGGCAACCTAACGCCATTCTTTGATGCTATGCTCGAGGATCCAATCCATGGCTCTGCAGAAAAGTGCTGGGGCCCGAACACAGCCCTGCCTAACTCCGGAGGTAGTTGTAAGCACCTCGGAGAGCGAACTGCTAACACTCTGGCAGCAGTACCTGAATGAAGGTCGTTAATGAGATCTAGCAAGAAATTTGGAATACCAATGCCCAGCAGTGTGCTCTACTGTACAGTGCTTGATGATCCACAGAGTCAAACGCTGTCTTAAGATCGACATAGCCTACTATGAGTGGACGATTAAACACACAATGTATTTCTGATAAGAGCCTAAGGGCGAAGATGGCATGTTGTTGATCTGCCCCGGGTGAGTTAATAAGATGCTACACATTAGATGGTGCAGGGATCATGTTTGTGACTGATCTTATTTGAGACACGCTAACATCTCCGATACCGCGCAGAAATGCCATAGCACCAGAAATGGAAGTAATCACTACATTAACATATTTGGCAACTGGAAAAATACAAATATGCAGCAGTGATGACTTGGGTCTGTCACAACCTTCTATAAGCAAAGCGATCACACAAACAATTACAGAACTTTTAGAACCTTATTGTGTCGCTGTTCATTTCCTATAAAATATGTTAAGTATGACAGCATGGTAAATAAAAAATAAAGAATATATATACACATATATAATGTGTGTGTGTGTGGTAAAACAGGAAAAATTACGCCTGTAATTTCAAAGTGAAGGCTTATAATAGACCCTACTCTTAAAAGCGCTCTTTTATTTCCTTCTTAGACAACCAACCAATCACATTATTCAAAAGACTGTGTCATAGCTAGCAACGGGGTCAGCCTTGCCTGATGTAGCCCATCCTCTGCCTCGTTAGCTAGGGACTAGTAGTATGCATCACGATCGCGCTTTACCTTGGCCCTAAAAATACCCTGGAGGCGCTTATTTACCACTAGTGTGAAAGAGGACAATTTATTTAATCAAGCTCCAAAAATGGCTTATTTTGGATCCGAGGGGCAAGGTAACATCACCTGGGCAAGGTCATTTGCATAAACACTGAGCAAGACATCAACGAATAGTCTTCTTCTCATCATAGGCCCCGCCCACTGGCATTCAGCTGCTTAACTGCTTGACACTTGATTACACTGAATGTGTCGCGTTGCGTCAAAAGCAAACAGAAATTACAATCCCTGCTGCTATCTTGTCTACACTGGGTAGTTTTTTGTAACTTATTTCAAAAAGTGAAACTTTCATATATTCTAGATTCATTACATGTAAAGTAAAACATTTTTTGTTTTAATTTTGATGATTAGAGCTTACAATTTAAAGTTAAAAATCCAGTCAAAATATTAGAATATTTCCTTAGATCAATCAAAAAAAGCATTTGCAAAACAGAAAAGTTTGAGCTCTTTAAAGTATGTTCATTTATGCACTCAATACTTGGTCTGGGTTCTTTTAACACAAATGACAGCATCAGTGAGGTGTGGCATGGAAGCGATCAGCCTGTGGCACTGCTGAGGCACTATTGAGCCTTCAGCTCATCTGTTTTGTTGGATCAACGGTTTCTTCTCTTGAAAATATCCCATTCCATATGGGGTTCAGGTCAGGCATTTT